TTTGATTGTATTGATTTACTGATCATAATAAGATGCCATTTCAGTTCACTTCCTTTAGGTTAAAAGTAAGGAACCCAAGCCCTGGATGACCGAGTACATGTTATGACCTTTTGATAAAATATGCATATAATATCATAATGAACAACAGATTAAGCATCCATGTACCTTTGAAACATGTCACTTGATGGTGTGGTGAGTGGACCCAGGTGTGTTGATGACCAGTGATAATTAACATGCCTTAATAGGTTAATTAATGGCTTTTGGAGCTGAGTAATCAGCTTTGCTACCAGCTTAGTCAGACTTTCCTTGGTCGTCATTAAGCTCTATGCTGAGATGCGTAGATGCTTATTAATGTGGTACTTATGTGCTTTAATTAAGATAGAATGTTATCATGTTTATTATAAGGTCGAACTAGAAGATAATTCATCAGCAAATTAGTTCATCAGCTTTATTTTGCAAAAGTGCCAGAGAGGCAAATTGAGGTCATTCTATTACTAGTAATTTGTTTGTGTTAATCAAAAACTGCAATTCCGGAAAGTTTGACATGTCTCAACTCTAAAAGTCCAAGGAAAACTTAATTTGGTTTAATCTTGCTTTCTGTAAAGTGTACATAGATAAGCTTTCTTGTGATATGTCAATTATCTACAGAGAGAGATAAAAGAAATTCCTTATTCAGAGTAGCTTTACTGAATGCTTCTGTAAGTAATGAATGGTTAGGATTTAGGAAACCAGGATTTGGATAATGATGTGATGCACTGCTAGGCACTTCCCCTGTATAAATACATGGTTAACTCCCCCTTCCTTTTGAGTCCAAGATACTTAATATTCTTCATTTTTGCCTTTTCTGTTGGATTTCCCTTTGTTGTCACTGGGGCAGTTACTAGTACATTGGTATTTAGGTGTTGAGTTCATAAAATAAATTGTTTCAAAATTGTTATGTAGACACTCTGGCTAAGTCATCTCTGAATTATTTTTGTCTAAACAATTTTGTAAGGTGACTTATGTAAAGTATTGAACGCCATACCAACCTTGAGAAATTGATTTCTTATTTTTCAGTGCGGTCCTTCGTCTTGAAACATTGACGGGGTATCGATAGTCAATTCACTCAATATCTAGGAATGAGTTTTGTGTAATATGTGATTGACTTGCAGAGAATGGAATTCTGTTTTGTAGGGGTATTTATTTGACTAAGGGTTCGAGTAGAAGTCACCCTCAGGGTGTGCACACACGAGTTGCAGATATATTAAAAAATTTTGTACAAACGTGAGAACTGGTAAGAAAATGCATGTTTGTCTATTTTTCATGGCCTCATGAACCTTTAAACCTTTTATTGGCAGGGGATTTTAGGATGTCTTTATGTAGACCCCCCCCCCCCTCCAATAGTGCTATGGGAAGGCTGTCTGGTGTTCTGATGATACCTATGATGTCCAGCTTTGCACATTACAGACTGCCTTTTTATATTTTAATGTTTTGCTACAAATATTAATTTTGTTAAGCTGAAGAAAACTCCTTGTGGAAAGAAGTGACTTTTAAAAGATACTTTAATCCAGAAAGACGACAAGATATAAAAAATAAGATAAATAAAGTTGAAGAACTTCCTGTGTCAGTCCTCTTTTGCCCTGGGTTTTTTTCCCCAAAACACACACAAGCAAAGAAAATCCACATTTTCTCTCTAAGGAACTTGTGACAAAGTATGGCCCATGTTGTCGCCCCCACTCATCCTGTCCAAGGCCTTTCGTGTGACATTCCAATGTTCACATTGTGATTGATCAGTGCATTGATCTGCGTTTGGCTGCCAGCCAACGTCCACGGCCCACTGCCATTGTGTCACCATTGTCACCGCGGTGTAACTCTAGCTTTTAATGTAGGCCGTTTATCTATAGGACAGGGTAACAGAAGAAAAGGGGGGAGCTTGTGTACATTCCTCCAGGCTTTGTGAGGGAGAAATTCATACTGAATAAATTAGGTCTCCCAATGGATGAGAGGTTTACCTTCGCCACTGATGCGGAAATTGAAAGGTGGAAGGAAACAAGTTTGTGTTTGTTCACGAGTTTGAGTGGAGAGAGGGGTAAACTTGGGAGATGGTTAGAACTGTGATGGTGCCCTGTAAGGTTTATTTCTGAGGTTTCAGTCTAGACATAAAGATTCCTGTTATATATGAGAAGGGGAATTATAAGAAAATAAAAGTTGAAGAAGGGACATGGGGAGGGGGGGGGGGGAGGTAGAAGAGACAGACAAATACTTGCTTCCTATTGGTATGTAGAGGGAAAGGCAGGGGTTGGAAGGAGACCAACATTCCTCACTAAAATATTTTACCTTTCAACATTGGTTTTTAACCAAGAGGCAAGTTACTGGTCATGTATTTAACTTTTTATACCAGTAATGCGCAAGTGCTGGTGGGACTACCATATTGTTTTTCTCCGTAGATAAAGAAAGCATGAAATATTGATAATGAAGTTTTAAAAATGTGTAGAAGAACACCCTCTTTTGACAATCTAGCTAACTAGTCAAGTTCAATTTGGCTGATAAAACTTCTTAATCTGTTTTTCTAATTGTGACTTTAAAATGAACTTCAACAGATCCCAGACTTTTATTTTTAGAATAATAAAATATGCAGTTCTTCTTAAATATTTACCTCTGCAAATTTTATATGAAATCTGATTTTATATTTTATTTGATTAACTTCGTAATTGTTTTCTGAAACCTCCTTACAAGTCTATCCTTTACGCAGTATCAGCTGATTTTGACACATAAGAGGACCTCAGTAGATGTCACAATAAGTGAACCCAAGTGAAAAGCTTCCACCCATGTACTTATTAAGCCTTGCTTAAATATATGAAGATGTGTAATTGGTCCAAGAGAAAGAATTTTGACCTGTCTGGTATGTCAGCAATTTTTGCAAGTGAGAGTTTAGCCATGGGGATGTTTCCTGAGCCTCTTGTACAGGTATTCGTTTGGCATGAGAGATGTAATTAACGGAGAACCGATCGCCCTACCTTATTCACAGTCATTCAAATAGACCTACTTTTTCAAAACTAACTGAAGTATGTATAAAAGAGAAAATTCTTTGTTATATTATTGTTTTGTTAGTTCTTTTCCTTCTGAATAGCCTTGTTTCTTGTTTCTGTGAGAAATGTGATAATAATAATGCTTGTACTCATCTTGTCAGGTTTTAAATGGTGAATATGTTTAAAATTGTTGATGTTTTTAATGAGCAGCTGGCAGTGAGAAAAACATTTGATGCAAATAAAATGGTATGTTCATAATAAAAGGTGGAATGAAGAACGTGTGCAATTGAGATATTGTTGTTAGATATGAAAACTGAATAAATCTGTATTAAAGGAATTATAATCAAGTACCCAATCAATTATTTGAGGGTAAATGGGGGAGGGGAGGTAAGATTTTTCTTTAATATGCAAGTTGAAGAAATGTGTCTGTTAAAAATTTAGGGGCCACCCGTACAGTGTTTTTCTCACTTTGTATACAGTATCGAGGAAATAGTTGTCAAACTTCAGTCAGGATGCACCGCCCAGCTCCCCTGGCATACAGACTGTTTGGCAATAAGTGCAGTATTAGCTTATTTTAAGTGTGGTAGATGAGTTGAAAAAAAGCATTATGTCCACTGTTATGCACAATTACTTAAGGTAGTAGATTTCTTTTAAGGATTTAATTTTTTAATCTTCAAATACAGGCATTATTTCAAATTGAGAAATAGCTTGGGGATTCATGCTTGGCCTAGCAGAGTTAGATGAAAGATGTTAAGAAAGTGATTTTATGTGTAGTACAATGATAACTTTGTGTTTATGACCCATCTACCAGTTCGTATAGATCTAAAAAATTTGTCAATTTTATCACCCAGTTTTTAAAGTTAAAATGCCACTAAGTCTAATCAGTAAGACACTTAAGTTATAATCAAAATATATAATTGAGATCAAAATAAAATAAATTGAGATCCTGCTCTGTTACATCTTTCTTCCACATAGGATGTCAATAAGATTTCAGAAGAAATAAATGGGTACAAATGGTAGACTGTAGTCTTATCTAAGACCATAGCAAATAAAGTTTAGACAGGGCATTAAGTGCACCCATAGGTTATCTGTGTCAAAGGTTCTCTTGCTGGGGTGGTTATAACTTTTGACACACCCTGTCAGTGAGTGTGACCCTTTTTGCTAACCCTACTAGTACTTGAATGAAGTGATTCTCTGAAATGCAAAAATAATTATTTTAGCTTTAACTCCAGAACAATCTTCAACACTCCCATCATTTAATCAGCTCTTCTTTCACCTCTGAGAGAAGGTTTCAGCCCATGGTGTATGTCCACTTGTTAGAACTCCCAACTGGTTCTTTTTAAAGCATTTTAAGGAGAGCCTCGGATTGAAAATCATGCCAGGAAGGCAGGGAATTCAATTTGTAGTACTTCATTTTTGGTCAACAGCCTTCATGATAAAGGGATATGATTTACTCTCCATATAAATAATCCAGCTGAGTTTTTATGTATAAGTGGAATAAAATGGTGGAATGTGAGGGTTTCTCATGCTGCATCACGTTGGCCTGTGGCTTTACAGGAATGGTTTTTAGTGAAGCTATTTATTGTGATTTAAATCATCAATCTTTAAATGTGGAATTAACCTGCATTAAGTATATAGAGTACGTGGTTTGCAACATGAAGGCAACTAAATCCACTCCTGTGGTGGCTCAATGTCACTGTGAGATATATGTTCTCTCTCCTTCGCGATAAATTATTAACATCCAGTTCTAATTGTTTTTATTGTATTTGATTATGATAATACTTTGATCCATATCATAATTCTATTAATAAGTCTACCTGTGCACTGTGAAAGAATCAATAAACTGATTATAAAAAAGTATATATACAATGGAAGTTTAAAAAAATACATGAGTTCGTAGATATTTCCCATGGTAGATAATTGGTACGTGGTGATGTTTTTCAACCGAATTTTAATTGTTTCACATTTTCTTATTATTGTTATTTATTGTAGATACACCAAGCCCCAGACCTTTGCGGATTGCGTAGGGGATGAGCTGCCATTTGGATGGGAAGAAAGCTTTGATCCTGTTATTGGGGTCTTTTACACTGACCACATAAACAGTGAGTATACATTTTATAGATTTAGTTAACTAATAGATTTTACACATAAACAGTGAATTTTAAGTTTAAACTATAGATATATTTTACATTGACAGATTTAAAAGAAACTTTTTATAAATCTCACATACTTAGAAGGAAAGCTTTAAAATTCTGAAAGGAAGTTTCTAAATGTAGTTAGTCCTGCAGTTGAATTAAATATGGAGTAGATATTTTAAATATGTCACTGTCAACGTCCATTTCTAAAAATGACATCTTGGCATCATTGTCACATGGTTTTATGGTTGTCACTGGAATTTGACTGATTTCCATAACTGGTTGTGCCATCCTTGTGATAAAATGTCAGTGACCAGTAGTGATCCTGGAATGTATGCAGCTGTGTTTTCATCATTCATCGCTTTTCATCGCTTAGGAAAGCGACTTACTTACAAATACCTGCTTTTCAAAAAGCATGTAACTTGTTAATCGATACATTGGCTCATAGCCGAAATTGTGCAAAAACTGTATTTTCAGTATCAGTTGCTCTCTGTGCTTTTGACAGCTTTGCTGTCTAGTTCTAATAATTATGCGGAATTTTGAACTATCTATGTTTAAATTGGGATGATGACTTTCAATATGTGTGTGTTTGTTAGGTTTCACTATAAAAGTCGGTCATAAATGTCAGTTCAGGTATGCAGGACATAGTAGCCACAGGCAAAACCTGTGTCTAGTTACCTTCTCCTTAACTCCTTCTCATGACTTACCTGTCATGTTGATTATAATATATTTAAGGTCTTATCTCTATTGTATAACATTTCAGAATAGAATGTGCCTGTTTTGTTTATGATATTTTCTCTCTTTTCTCTGCATTGGAATGTTTATCTTCCCCGATATAACCCCTATGTCACCCTGGGGGTAACAAAAGCATTGTTGACATATGACTTTGTAATGAAGAAAAGTTGTGTATCTCTACATGTTGTTGTGCAGCCCACCGAGGTGGCCGAGGTTCTGAATTCAAAAAGAACACCTGATATAAGAAAGTATCAGTTTTGTCCATAACTTGAATAAACAAAATGGGTGAAATTCCTGTCGGGTCAGCTTTTTTTTTTTATTGTTATATTTAAGAAAGTCAGGAATCCTTTACAAGCCCTCAAGACAATGTCACTTGAGGCATTCTCCTCCAAATGTCAATTTATTTAAACTATTAGAGTTGCCGACATATGGGGATCATTGTGCATTGTAATATCAGTAGATGGGCTTCAATTAAAACAATACAACTTCCCATTCAGCAAATAGTTACTTATACCCCATTCACACTACAGTTGCAAAAATGCGCATTTCTGTAATTCGGATTTTTCGTGAGGAATCCAATTCGGCATTGCGTTCACACTCGCGAAGCAAATCCGAATCCCACGTTGAAAATTTCAGGTTTAACTTCCTGTTTTGAACACTCGCGCATGCGCCGCACAGAAAAACTCAAAATACCAACAAAAAAGTCTGACGGCAAATGTATCTCAAAAAGACATTCCAGCATTCTTGGGAAGCATAAGATGGCAAAATAAGTTTGTTTCCTCATGTTGTAGTGAATGGTGACCTCCAAATACGTTTGGTGCAATCGCTATAGTAATAAACAAGCGTTCATAGATACCCGCACTTATCTGCACACATGCGCAGTTAGGTCTGTACAGGTGTCGATTCCGGTAAGTTATCCGGATCGCGCTTAGAAATCCACCTCGCTTGCAGGATTTTGAAAATGCGCATTACAAAAATCCTCTTGCGTTCACACTACTGCATTTATTCGAATTGTGACCTAATTCGCAATTTATCCCGATAACTGAGCGTAGTGTGAACGGGGTATAAAAAGCATCTTAATAGACTTCTGTACAGGTTCAGATTTAGTCAGCTCTGAATACTGTGTCTAAACTGGGCAAAAATTCTTCACATTCCCAATCTGGACCACTGTGCCATAAAAGATGAAGTATGGGGGATCAGCCTAGGGAAATAATATGCTTGCTGCTGGATACAGGTATTTCACCTGGTGGGGACCTTCTCAGTAAACACAGACTTCTATCTCTACACATTCCACACTTGGTGTATAAGTATGGTTCATGGGGGAAAAACTACAATACTCTGCTTTTTTTTCCTTTTGGTTTGTACTGGTCATCTTGAAGAATGATGAAATGAGAGCGTTGAATTGATTGATTACTAGAAAGGGAAGTAAGAAAGAAATATTTTAGTGAAAAAGAAAGAGGAAATGGGTGGAAAGATTTATTGAAAGAATGAACAAACCGGCAGATGTGCACTTTAAAAGAAAGAACTAATACTATAGAACTGATATTTATAGATGAAATAGTCAGCCTAAGTATCATGTGTATAAAAAAGGTGTTTTTAGATCAGAGACTCCCCCTTTCTTTTTATTTCAATAAGAAACAAATAAGATAAATTCTTAATGCACATTCATAGAACATGTTGTCTCTGCTCAAAAAGGAAAATTTCACTGCACAAGGAATGATTAATTATAACGAATGCCACAAGGATTAATAAGGCATACTTGACAACTTTCAGCAATTAAACACTCACCACAGCAAAAATACACAAGCAACTGCTTAAAGGATACCTTTAAGCTATGGCAAAAAGAAAAATGTGTCTATTATAAAAGATTTTTCAAAGAAAATTGTAATGTTTAACTGACCCCTTAGCTGTACCTACATGCCAGTGTTTGGACCACATACCTTTCACCACGCTGATTGATTTGAATTAGTACATCTCAGATGTGCATATGGTACCTAGTATGTGTAACATTTGCCTGGTCATTCATGAGGGCTTGGGAAAATTCCTTTGCTCCGATCAACTGTCCATTCAGCTAAAAATAGATGTAAAGTGACCTTTACAAAATTTTTGCCTACAAGTTGTACTGGATTACATGAAATTATTGATAGGAATTTGATTGTGATTAGCTTAGATAACGTGGGAAAGGGTGTATGGGTTTGTTGAAAAATTGTGGTTATAGTGCTTTAAAATTGGTTTTTTAAATATATGACAACTACCTGGAATTTATGGTAGAAGTTGGTCACTTGGCGGATGATAGGGAAATAGACATGGAAATGTGAGACTTGGAAAACCACTAGTCTTGTAATTCATTACTCCCATTGGAACATATCGAGCTTACTTATTCTGATGTCACATCAAGGAATTATCTATATTTTTTGGTTTAACCTGGATATGGCAGTTGCTTATAAAATTTGACTAAATATGTTAGTAGTAATGACATTTTTTCCGAAAATTATTATTAGCCTCCAAGTGGAATTAATTGTATACAAAATTTTCTAAAAGCCAAGCTTTATCTTATAAATTAGTTCCAGCTTTATTAATAATTACAAATCTTGAGAGTTGAAATAATAACATGTTTAATCTGTGAAGTGATGGGAACTTTAGAATAAATAGCACAGTGTAAATATTTAGTGACTCAATTACCTGTGCCTCAGTTAAGAGACAATTTGTATTTGATAGATCTCTTTTAGTGCAAAGAATTTGCAAATGATTCCAACTGGCAGGGAGGTTCATCCTGAGAACATTTTTCTGATCATTCTTTCTTCTCCCCCAGAAAATGATAACTTAATTTCATTTCTTGTCCTATTACACTTCTCTTTCATATCTAAATAATATTAGTAATTTGGGGGAATTTACTAGTAAATAATGAGGACAAAAATTATTTTCCTTTTGAAGGTTTCCTCCCTTTTAAGTGAAAAACAGGTTCTAGAATGGTGCTAAATGTGAAATTGTAATGGTATGAAATGTTCAAAAACAACTTTATGTAGGTAAGGTGATGGGAGAGGAAGGGTTTTCCTTTTTCGGCGGTTTTCCCTGTTGTCATAATATGTTGTTAATCTGAAAAAATGCACATTGTGAAATCATCTCTAAATCTGTGCTCTCTTCTCTTTATTAGTAAATTTTTTAATTTAATTTTTGAATATCCATACAAGTTGTTTTTATATTTCAAAAGTAGCCGTACATTTGTTAACATACCAACATTATCAGCTGACCTTACAGTTATCCCCAGAGACATGAAGTTTTACATTTTTGTCCATAATAGGTGGAGAGCACTTCTTGGTTTATGGCTTTGAAAATAGTTTGGGTTAACCATGATTGATGGGAGGGCCATGCTAGTGCCTATGGTTCCAAAATTTACTTTTTGAAATAATAGATATTCCTGTTCTGGGCCATTTCCTGGGCCATTGTATGGTTGGACCGTGTATAAAAGGAAGACTTGATATTAAAGTATAGTCATGAGCACACATTATTACACGGTCAGTTTTTGAGTCCCAGGAAGAGGAATGGGTTGAACAATGTGACTATCCTATTTCTTGGACTCAGAACTGACCGTACAAAAATATTTTATTTGTTTTTCTCAAAAGATCTGTTAGAATACAGAAGGGAGGAAGGGAGGAGTTGTTACAGTATACGTGGTACTAGTAGATGTCTTGTTCTGAGAAACATAAAGATAGGAATGCAGGGGAAGGGGGGGGGGGTAATAAGTGCTGCAGCCGAATTTGTTCTAGTTGGCAAGAGTCACTTCAAGAATTACAGGGTTTGATGGAGAAAGTAATGAACAGCTGAGGGACAGGACAATGTCAGCTTCATATTTTTTGAAAAAAGATAAAGATATTTTGAGGGTAGGTGTCTGTTGCCCACCTGTCACTGTTACTAAGGAGAGAGCCCCAATGCTGGATTATCTTGGTCTCCCTCTGCAATGTGTTACTGTCATCAGCCATTGGCTAAGAATGCCACAAAAGCATGTCATTAGAATAAAGTGGAATTTTTTTAACTCCTGGTATGGAAACAATACAAATGTCTCTCACAGGGTTTGGGTCAAATCATTTATGGGTTTCATTTTTGAGTGGCAGGATTGAACAACGATAACATAAGGCATTTTACTTGGGGGCCGTAAACAGTGCAGTTTTGCTGGTCCGTGGTTTTTCAACAGTACAGTAGCACATTTTTTGCTTATAGTCAGTGAATATTACAATTCCCTCAAAGTGAGACATAGAGCAAGGTCTGGATCACAATTTTTGAAGCATTTCAGGATATTTTTTCCACCACAACGGAATTGATAAGGAGGAATGTAAGGAGGCTTATCCAGTACTTCATTGTCAGGATAAAAAGCGTCTGAGTCCTGACCACAGTGTGGATGTTTTAAGGATTTTAATACCACAATTGTGGCGACTGGAGTGATTAGGTGGAATGTTGGCCCCTTTTTTTCCCTCAGCTGTGCCCGTTCTGGACCAAGTTACATAGCTAACATTGTTTGTGGTGCTGTGACTAAACTGGATGGTTAGAAATGAGACAAGTTCATCTCCTGGATTGAAGATATCACTGAAGTAGTGAGGACACTGTCTTTTTTTGTCTCCAAGTTCAACATTCAGGTCTGATAGTACTGGTATCAGAAGGACATTAGGAGATATTTCAGCTGGAATTTGCTCAATTAGATTGTTTCAAGGAAATAAGAAGAGAGCTAAATACAGTATGGTAGCCCAGGAATATGAGACAAAGGCTCCACCGCCATACTATTTACACATTTTGAAAAACAGACTTTTTCCACAAGAGAGACACAATACAACTGAGAGTTTGAGCACAAGCAAGTCATTCATACGCAAACTTATCTGCTGTGCCAGACAGCAGGAGAAACGTAGACAGTCAAAAAGCGATAGTTGTATATATATGAATGTTCAGAAACATTGTGATGGATACTTTACAGAGACCAATCAGATTGAAGATCCAAGACAGCAATGGCGGCACCAACAAGAAGAAATGCTGCAAGAATATCTGGTGACAGCCAACGAAGATTTAGACGTGAGTTAAAATTTTTATTTCTAATGATTGTTTACAGTAGATTGAATGTAATCTTTATGAAGGCCTTGTGTTAAAGATTTTCTTCTTAATATTATATCTTTTTAAGTTAAATTGCATTTAAGTTTCCCCCTAGAATAGGCATGTTATTTTCATCTTCGTCTGTTTATAATTTATTTTTACATTCCACTCGCGTTGGTTTAGTTGTAGACCACACTTAGTCATTTTGAGGTTATTGAACGTGACTTCAGTCACGTGTTGGAATGGAGTTTTCTGAACAGTTGCTACAAATAAATGTTCAAAGGTTTGCATGTAATTGTATATTAACCAGGACGAAATAAGAAAAAAGTAAAGCAAACAGGTGTTCATGCTGTGTTTGTGGGCTAGGTCCTGCTTAAAGATGACACCCTGCTTAAACATTTGTGTATCAATGTGGTTGGGTAGTATTATACAGTTAAACTGATGGGCAAAGAAAAGCAATTGATAAGAAAGACTGAGAAGGAATCTCAATAACTTTTGATGAACAATGGATTTTAATTTGCTCAGTTCATTGATAAAAAGAATGTTTGAAAATTGAGAAACACAATATGCATGGACCTAGAATTCTTATTTAGTCATCTTTAAGTTCTAGAGGTCTGACAGAGTCTCAGTTATGAAAAAAAAAAACATAATTGATCATAAAGAAATATTCTTTATTAACTCCTAAATTCACAGAATCTTCCCCTGTTGAAAGCTGACAAATGTTTCCTTTGGCCTCACTGTCTGCATTGAGTTTAGTCAACAGACACGAGCTCTCTGAATGGCAGAAATGCCAGGATCCAGGCTGCATCCCACAATCTTCCTGCGGAACAAGGTTGATCTTGTTCTGCAAGAATTTTATCTTAATTCTACATCATCCTCGGCTGGTCTGACAATTACCTGGTTGGCTAACAGATGCTGTAGAAATCTGCCAACACAGATTTTTTTGTGCAGTCATTAGCCTCCCATCTTCCTTGGAATTTTATCTGAATCATTCATCTGCCGCAAATATGATAAATATTAAACTATCTGGCAGATTAGATAGTGTTGGCAAATATAGACTATTTTTCTGAACAAACAGAAGAGTCCTTTTGTATAATTATTCAAACGAAATGTGATTGTAAAATCAGTTCTTATAAAATTTTAATTGAATTCACCAAGAAAAAAAAAAAAAAAACAAGTCCCATTTTCTGTTTGAAGGAAAGTCAGTGCCCAACTTCTCCAACATGTTTCGAAAATTAGGCTATATTTTCTTGTTAAAGGTAAATATAGGATTCCAGCTTGATCCCTCTCCCTCTCTCCAAGTAAAACCAGTGGCCTCTTCACACGGTAGTTGTTATTGAACAAGATTGCCAAAGTGTGCCCAGTGTTTACCTTCTGATTAACCACTCAGACTGAATACCACAAGCATTATTTCATAGGCTATTTTTATCCCCGTTGGAGAATTTGGACTGCGTTCAAGCCAGGACTGTTTTGGATTGACTATCTTTCTGAATTACCTCATGAGACAACCTGATAACAGATTGATATTATTGTGTCCCATACTTAAAAATGTGAAGGTTATTAATTGAAAAATGAGACTTAGGTTATGCAAGTCAGGCTAATATTAGTGATAGTGGGCCAAAAGTAGCCCAGTCTAAAATAGACTGCAACATACTTTCACCTTAACATCTTTCCTCTATTTGATTATATATATCCTATAAAAGATGAAAGGCATATTTCTTTTTTTTTTTTTTTTCCAAAAAGTGATGTTCCTGATTGTGGTGGTGAAATATCTTTTATTGCTCCAAAAAGAAAGATTTGAAGCAAGTTCAGAACTGCATGAACTTGAACTTGATATTGTGAAACTGATGTCATCAAATGATCAGATCACCCCTTTACTTGTCACGTATGACAATTTAAAAGGATGTGTTAAAGCACCTGCTAGTAGCTTTTGTGTTGCAAAATAAAACTTAAAGATATTGATTTGTGTATTAAATATTTGGTACTAATGACGTTAAAGATAGTATAAAGACCAACAATTGTTCAAAATTATTTTATCAGCATGATTGTGTTTATCCACTTTATTTTTATTTTAGGCCAAAAAGGAAATCTTTCAGTTGAAACAGCAGAGGCTTCAACTAGCTCAAGATGAATTTGAAAACTTAAATGATGCCCTGGCCCACTGGAAGGCCTCCAGGACAAGCTGTGAGTATCCAACAAATAACTCAGATTTGAAAAACATTAAAATTTCATAGTATTTTGAAATATGCTTACTAGTATTGTAATATGTTTAGAAATGTTTTTTATTTTTATTTATTTTTTTTTTAAGAATATGGTTTCATCAAACAGACACATTTTGCTAGTGGTGTAGAAGAAGTTTATTTTCTCCCCATGTTTTCTCCTCTGTGCCCTTGGAATTTACACGCATGTCTGTTTTGAAGATTTATATAAAAAAGGGTGTTTACATCACCTGTCTGGAAGGATGGAATGTTCAGTGACAAAAGGTTAAATTCTAAAGATGGCCAAGAACTTGACTGGCAAAATGGAATTACAAATTATTTTTACAATTGCTGTTCTAGACCATATATTTCCTTTTTATCCACACAAAGGGATGTCAAAAGTTATAGCTGTGAGGAGAAGGCAATTTTTTTTATAGTCTGCAATCTCTCAAGTCGTGAGTAAGCTATATTTATAATGTTGTTTACTACTTCTGAGGCATATTTGTGGGAAGATGGTTGGGTAAACAGACATTTTATTTGCACCTTAATGTTTGCATGGTAGCACATTAAGAAAACAACTGGGTTACATTAGGGCCGCGATTTCACATAGAAAGAGAAAGCTCAATAAAAGGTTGGCTGGGTGGTTGAAATAAATGAATGGAAGCAATCATGGGTTGAAAGTATAGTTAAAGTACAGACTTTTTATCCCAAAAGGACATTGTTCATGCCTTCTGAAGATAACTTGGAACACTTAATAATTTCAGGCATTCATCATTATTGATGAGCTTTTGTAAATAAATTAATGATTATTTTAAATCAAAGAAGTGCCAAAAAAACAGAAGACACATTTCAAACATGGTTAGGGGTTTTGCAAAGTGAAACCTGGGATTCATGTAAATATTTTTAAACCTAGGGTGAGAAATTGTCAGTGAGGCGAGAACTTTCTGACACCTTGGTCACAGGTTTGGTGTGTTATTATTTATCCCAGACACCTCTCACCTCTCCTCTCCTCTCTCTCTAAGCTTGCCTTACATTACATTACATGACCATCAAAGAGCAATAAACATCAGGAAGGTATGCTTTGATCTCTGCCTGGAGATAGGACTTACAAATCTTTTCCACCAGATTCCTATGTGGAGGCGAAGGTTTTCCATTATGAGGTGTTCGGTTCTGCATTACATCTCGGTATTGCTGTGGAATGTATTGTCTTAATGTATGCTTTGATACTTATAGCCCAAAGATACAGGCACATGTGCTGTCTGTCTGTTTTTTGCAACAAGTAGGAGTTTGGATATTCAAGTTTTTGTTTTCATTTATTCAAGAACAGAAGCCATCATTTCATTTAGAGTTTATCCTCCACCTCTCCCCCAACCTACTCCTACCACCACAGTAAAAACTAAAAGAAGTTTTTAAAAATATTTATATAAAGAATGACTTTGCTGTTGCATTATATGTTATGAGGTTAATCTGGTGAAGTTCTTAAGAACATGTTTAAAGACTGAATATATTTTGTGTTTAGATGTGCCAATGAAATGACAATTCACCATTGATCTTTTCATGTTTAGGTCTTCTGGTTGAATATTTTAATTTCTGTTTTAAAACAAAAGAGGTGTGAAGGTGTTTAGTTTGGTCTGTATTTGGCAAATATAATCCTTTTAATAGGGAAATTTTTTATGTGAATGTTTTCATATTTTGAGGTTAAAAAAAAAGTATTGGAACTGAAAGCAGACTTCTTGCTGTGTTGATAAGAAAGAGAAGCACATGTTGTTTATCACCCAACAATCAAACATCATTTGTTGCTGTGAAACTGTTAGCCATTTCTTGTTTGGATTTCAAAATTCAAAACATTAATTAGTAGGTTTTGAACAACAAAAATAAAGTTTGGTTTTTCCCTCCCTAATTATCCTTATTAGTAAGTTTCCTTACAGAACTTTCACTGAGAAGTGTATTTCAACAGCGATGAAAATACACTGACATTATTAATAGTTTTATTAATTTTATATGATTGAAATATAAATTTCTATCTGTGAGTTAAGCAGAAATTGTCTGCCTTCATCACATAGAGTGATATTTAGTAGAAGTGAAGATCTGTATCAGAGAGAGACCTCATCAAATTAACACCTTAAAACAAAAAAACTTTTTTGTAATCTAACATTCATGGTTGTTCCTTTGAAAAGATTACACAATGTCTAAGGCAGCACCATTCAGGTGATTGCCCAGTACAGAGAGGGTACCCCATCTATTAAAAGTGTACTCATTGTCACATAAGCCAGACTTCATACCTGTGCTTGACCCATCCCATTGCATTCCACACTAATATATAGGCTGACATCTCCTGGGATGTCATCCCGCACTGGTAACAATTCCACCACAGACTTATCAAGGGAAAGGAATGAATGATGCATTTTTATTATTATCATTATTTTTATTTATGCCGGGTATTTTGACATTCAAAGAGCTTGGTCTCATTACTGTAAATGGGAAATAGGGCTTTCATGAGTTTGCATTCCTGAGGAGATAGATTACCTTATGAAAGCAATTCTGGAATTCCTATCTCTGGTACATTTGAGTGTGTAATATTTTGATGATGTAAATGCCAGTTGTCTTGTTATGCCTAATTGGAGACTGCTATTTGTTTATACTTCAGAGTTCATTATTAGAATGCAAAATAATAACGCCTAATCATTCAGACAAAAAAAATGAGAAGAAATAAATGTGAGATGCAACAGAAATAATCCGAGAAAGATGAAGAAGGAAATGATAGAGATAAAGAGAGAGAAGTCAGTGAGAATAGAAAATTTGATGTTTGATGTTTGAAAATCTTAATTTCCTTTAGAAGTGTAAAGATGGGGCTTCTCTTTATGAAATCTCTTCTCCTCCCCCTCCCTCCATTCACCCCCTCCCCCCCCCCCCCCCCCCCGCCCCCATCCCCTCCATATTCTCTGCATCACTTTAACATGCTTGGCCTGATAACCATCGCTGTTTTACCAGTGAACCATGACCTGTGACAGGCACCACTATGACCACGGTGAGAGCTCACACAATGATGGCAAAGATAGCAGCTATATTAAAAAGCTCTCTGGTTGTATTTTATATGAAACTGTAGTGGTTATTTCCTAGTTGGTATAAAAGTACTGTTATTCCATTTGGAAGTGTATTTGTATCATAAAAGAACACTATTGATTTTATTAGTATAAAGTAATACACACACTCACTATCTCTCTCTCTCTCTTTGAATGTGCTGTAGTCGAACATCTTTGGAAGTCAGAATTGACCACGAGCTAACTTTGTTACATATCATGGACATTGTTTAATATAAGCCAACATCTAAGAAAAGAATGACAGTTAAAGGCACAATTACAGTGACTATTTATCTCTATTTGTATTCCATTTGTAGTACCAATATTGTATAATCATAACTAATATTTACACATTATAAGGACAATAAAAGTCATTTTGACACACACTGTCTACCAAATGTCCAAGGCATGTTTTTACACACCCTGTTTACCTGAATTTGAATGGAATAAATTAAATAATTTTAAGTAATATATATACACTTTAAAAGGACAATGTAAATCATTATCACAAGTCACAGTTGATATTTACTTTCATTCCATTTGTATAATATACCTAGATATTTTAAATTACTGCTAATATTTGCACAGGAAGATAAGAAAATATTTTAGAAATATTCCGCTGCATCCACTGTTACCAGTGACTCTGAGGCATTTTGACATTGCTTACATGTGAAAGCATTGTGCACATTAGTACAACATCATAAGGCATCAGCAGAAATTGCCATGTTCCGTGGTAATTGGGTTGATGACAACATGAGAAAATTGCTTTTTTTCACTACCACATGCCAGTTTTAAATAGAAGTCTCATCTCTTGTGATAGAAACACATACCATACAAATGAGAAATTTACAGTTAATTCAAGACCATGTGTGTGACAGTGACAATAAGGATAGCATGGGAAGAAGGCCTTTTGATGTTAAATAGTGGGAATCATGACAGGTGTTTCTATTGTTGTAGGACATCTGCCTCCCACACACACACACACCTGTCAGGTAACAGCACTGGACAGCACTGTGAGAGTCATGGAATATTTGGTTAATATGTAATTCAGGATCTCTCTCTCTCTCTCTCTCTCTCTCTCTCTCTCTCTCTCTCTCTCTCTCTCTCTCTCTCTTTTCCCCTTCCACTGCTCCCACTCCCTTGATCCCTACAAATATACCAGTCAGGCTGAAGAGTGCTGGACTATCAAATTTATAGTGAAATCACTTGCACTTAGTTTTTGTTTTCTCTCTATCTCAAGCCCCCCCCCTTTTATATGCACTCTAATGTTTTCTACAGACACACCTGTAGGGTAATGGGCTGCTGGACATCAGTGAATCACAATGGATTTGATGGATGTCTGCTTTATGCATTAAAGGTTCAGTCCCTGTTTGCATGGATGAAATATCATGGATATTGTCTACACGTGTATATAAAGTACGTATGTATAGAAAACTTTGGTTTTAACTTTCAGACAAAAGTTTGTTTACTTTCACCCAAGATAAATCAGTTGTATTGGAATTATATAAAATACTCCAATTGCTTTATAACAAGGAAGAAGGGGCCAGTAATTTATGCCACAGATACTCTTTTTTAATGGAGTGTTACACATTTATCTGAAACTTAAATTAACCAAATTGTGGTCGAAAGTTAAGGCCAAATTTCAGTATTAATTTCACTTGTGAAACTGGGCCCCAGTGAAGAAAATTTTTACACCAGTCTTACAGCACAGATCGACTAGACACCAAAATTCCCGCAGACAGCATTATAATTTCTTCATTTCCATACACATCTTTCTTCCAAGCAAACAAAACTCGGGAGTCATATGACAGTAATGGAGTCATCAGAGAGATCAGATAAATGTTGACACAGGAAGCGTGTTGAATAGAGAGGGGCTTCAGTTTTCTGATTTATTCACCACAAATATGTCTACTCAGGCTCAGTCGTTTCTTTACATGCTGACTTGGATTTCCAACAACTAGTTTACCTACAGTTTACACCTTGACATAACTTCTTTATATTTGAGTCTTAGGTGATTTTTCCCTTTTTTACTCATTTATTTTTAGGCTCCTGATTGATTATTCTTTTTTTTTTCCTTGGGCATATCAGATGACTAAAAGATAATGATATTTATATATTTCATAATAATAAAAAATGTACTCTTTCTTTCTTTCTTTTTTAACTTAAAACTTTCAGAAATTTCCTCCCTGTTTTCTTAGTTTCCAACTGTCTTTTATTTGGTTTATCACATCCCTGTTTCCCAGAATTGGCACTTTTGCAAACTTAAAACATTTAGCCTTATTTTTCAAGGAAAGGAAAGTGTGCACAGTCTGTGTGCTAACTTAAAGCTACAAAGTGATTCAGTGCACATACTTTTCAAACAAGAAAATGTGAAATGTTGCCAAAAAGGGTACATTCCTTCAGTGGCACACTAAGTTAAAGTTATAAAAACAGCTTGTCTTTAACTCTAAGAATTTTCGGGGGCCTACATTACACAGAGCAGTGCCCGTATTACCCTCAACTTGAGGGTACCACGCGTACATGGTGGCCATAAGAAATGGGAATTTTGAACTTATTAGTACACTATGTTTACTGTGTTAAATGAATGCCATGCTACTACTCTGGAAATTTAGTTCAGTTCATGCCTTTTATATTTTTAATCTAATTAACATGTGGTTTGGAGGCAGAATGTGAACAACAACAATTTTTCTGCACTAAATGATTCTGTAAAGGTATGAAAAGATTGCAATTGCCATGGGATTTCTTAAAGTAGCTTTCTTAGAATATAGGGAAGGAAAACATTGTTACTCAGATATATCTACCAGATCAACTAAAGTGCATAATCTGCCCTCTGCTAATGTGACAATTATTTCTTTGATAACAAAATAAATGAATGAATTATTTTTCCCAAAGAGTGTTAAGAAATGAAAAAATCTTGAAAAAGTGTAATATTGTAACAAGTATGTCATTTGGAAATTTTGGGTAATGACCACATGCCAATATCTCACCTAAATGACCAAATCATGCTTGAAGTTACCAGCAACTGTTTTAACTTTCTTAGTCAAATGTAAGACTTCAGCAGTTTGCCAGGCAGGTTTTGCAACAGGCAGTGTAACATACGGCAGGGTTTATTTTGAAAATAGCTGGCTTGTATCTTACATGTAGCTGTTGGAGGTTGTGTGTTTTGCACCATAGGGGGTGTTTTGGATCTTGGAGAATTTTTGCGAGTTCCAGGGATTGCTTAGCAACCAGACTTCTGTACTTTTGTATTCATTAAAAACTTTGGATATTGTCAAACAAGTGTTGGTATGAAGTAAAGAAATCATTGATGATTTTTTTTAATCAAGAAAGGACAGTAAGGGGGAGGGGGTTGGGATGCTGACTGTTATAGTGTTATATATATGTGGATAAGACTGTAAGTTAAATGGTTAAAAAAAATAGTGATGGTTTAGGTGCAATCACTGTACTGGTATTTAGTAGGGTGGAAGCAAAGAACATTTTCTGTATGTCCAAGATTTGAACTAACTTTTGCCATTTATATTGAATCAAGAGTAGGAAGGATTTTGTGAAGAGAGATAGAGAAAAAATAGAACAAAAGGTTTTTATTCTCTAAAAGCCAAAAGTCGGTGCATCATCAAAGAAAAATGCTTGGTTCTCACTGGAACATCAAGAACACACGAACACACGTGGATCTGTTTCCAAGTTTACTCGTTTGAAAAACAAAAAGCATTCACCAGTCGGTAACATCCACAAACACATTCCTGCTGCACAGTGGGGTGGCTGAAAAAGTTCTGTAGGAAAAAAATCCTCTCCTTCACAATTGGGTCCAGGTGAGGTTCAAAACCCAATGAAATGGAAGTCGCATGGCATGAGTGAAGTTTCCCTCACACTATTATACAGTGTAGCTGGTGGTTCTTGTTTAGCATAAAAAATTGGAAGTCTGTCACATTTCAGGCCAAGTCTCTTTGTGTTTAAACCTGCTGCTCACTGATAGTTGTTTTGTTAGAAACTTTGAATATTTCAAATCCAATTATCTCAAGTGCATTCCAATTATTAAATTCTTTTTTAAGACATTTTTTTCAGCCTGAAAGAATAAAAAATTGTCAATTTTTGAATGAATTTTGAACAAGGTGTTTATTTCTTCCAGTGAACTCCAACTCCAGTGTCGGCAGCACCAAGCATGATCCGGACCTACTGCGAGCAGATGTGGCCTTGGCAAAAAACAGAGTGGCACGCCTTAAGCGTGAGCTTGAACAGATACGAACAGAGATGCAGTACAAGGAACAGGGTGTGGAAACCTTGCAGCAGTAAGTGGCTCCACCTGCCAGAAAAAAAATATATGCAAAGGCTCGGCTCATTCAGGACTCCCTAAAACGGAAAATATGCTGATTTTTCTAAGGCCTTTTGGACTCGTTCAAAGCCATCATTCAAAAAAAAATTTTTTTTGTCATAAACTGTTGTGGAAGCTCATCACTGGTATGTGCTTTTGAAAAAGATATTTTTAAACTTTACTCCAACCAGTAGTCTGAAATGACCCTATCTGGAAAGAGAGCAATTTGATTTTCCATGTTATTTGAGCCAGGCTGTATAAAATTCAGTCGATCCAAGTACAGGGCTAACACCAAATGTTAGGCAGCATGTTTCAGATATTTGAGCTGGAGTCAATTGAGGAGAGTTCCTATTGAACTAAAGGAAAAGTCAGATAATCCCCCTATTGAAAGTTGTGTAATTTGTTTGCTGTCTGTGCCCTGGTATTCGTTCTGTCCACACAAACACACTCACAAACATGGGCCATTAAGGTGCTAAATAAGCTGAGGCATGTGCCTCTGTCAGGAAATTGGCTGCAGTTTTGCATGCTAGGATTTTTGTTTTAAGGTTTTAACTGAGGTCGTAATGTTGTGGTGGTGTTTTGTGTGTGTGCGCATGCATGTGTGTGTGTGTGTGTGTGTGTGTGTTTTCTCATACAAGGGGGGGTTCAGGATGACAATGTTTTGCTTAGATTTAAACTAGGGCGGAGATCAGAATTTACAGCATTTTTGCAGGCAATGTTATTGTTTTTCCCTAGTCCAAAAACAGAGGGGGATTAAAGCTTAACTGCATTTTTGCATGCCAGGGCTTTGTTGCTATCCCAGCCTGTAATGGAGAAATAAGACTTCTGTGGCCTTCATAGACAGTGTCAGAGGCATGTTAATTGGTGAATGTGACTCAGAGAATGAATTTTGAAAACTTCATGTTGATCAGACAGGTGAAGGGGTTTGTGAAAGAAAAATGAGAGGAAGGGAGAGGGGCAATAATTACAATTTGTGTGCAAAACCTTTGTTTTCGTTTTATCCAGCTGGTAAAGTTTCTTTTGAAAATTAATTGTCTTGGTTAGGCACAATTTAGACTGAAATAATTGAGAAGGTCAGCTCCATTGGGTTTTGTATGCCATATATTTTGAAAGAAAAATTGGAATTGGTGGGATCAGAGCCTGGATCAGATTGTTTATTGGGGCCTCGCATATTTCTTGTTTCAGACGGACTTTTTTTGTTTTTTTTAGATTTCCCAAAACCAGTGATGAACTAGAGCAGACTAAATTATTAGCAGTCCAGGTTCATATTTTATATCATTTGTGAAGGATTGGTATTCATTATTTAAGTAATTATCATGCTGCATATTATATAATGAGGGCCATGTTGATGTCTTGCAGGGAAGTGGTTTGTTGACTAGATGTCACCTCGCCCTTTATTTTTTGGAAATTTGTCCACTCTCCTGTTAAGTATAACTTTGTCAAACAAATTTACAAAAAAAGTGACTAAGATCTCTTTATAGATGCTCATCTATTTTGCTACAGCAATAGAGAATTGTTTTATTTCTTAATCCTAAAAAGAGAGACAGTCTACCATATTTCATGGGACAGGTAGAAAGGCCTCAGGAATTGAATTTTACCTTGCAGCTTTTAACACATACAGTGATTCTAATACACACATACCATAGTGTCACTTTTGAAGTTGAAATTTCCTCTCCAAACAATAAAAGATAGAATCTGTGCCAGAACTCGAAGGCCAAAATATAATTTAGGTTAGTTCACAGTTATTATTTTGATAAAAATATTTTTAGCTACAGTTTGTCTGCAAGTAAAATCCTACGGCAGCATTCTTCAGTGAGCCAGACTGTTTTTTATTCAACAGCCAGGCTTCTTAAATGTAAGCAGGAGACAGGGCATAAAATGTCAAATATACTCACAGCCCAGGAGGACTATTGTTTCAATACAGGAGTGACATTCTTTTGTTTAATTTATGGTTGATTGTGCAGGCGTTGCTGCAAACTTTGACTCTTGGTTGATGAGTTGGTGCCCAGGCTATCTGATATTTAGAAACTATTGGTTAGGGGTCACCAAGAGCATGTTACTCACTGCCTGCCATGGTGGTAGGATCTTTAAGTGCAAGGGGAAATGCAAGAGGTGAATTTTTTTTTCTTTGAGAATTTCATGATGTTTTTACATTTTGAACATATTTTTGGGGATTAAAAAATTTTAATTTTTTTTCCCTTTTAACAATTAAATTTAAAGAGAAAAAAATTTTAGTTACATTTTCTTTTAAAATATAGCTAAGGATCTAACACAGATTTCACATTCACTTTATGCCAATCACTTAACTCTCATAAAGTGGAAATTATCTTACTCGGCTTGAGTGGGAGGAATGAAGTTTTAGTGAAGATATGTTAAGTGCCCTATGAATAAATTCCATTGTTTCTTTTTAAAAGTAATTGACCTTGTCTTTTAATAGTAAGTTATGTCTTTATCAATAAGTGTTTGAAGTACATCTCAGTTGGAATCTTATTTTGCCTCAGTGTATAATGTGGATGGTAGGCCTATCTTTATAGTATGTGCTTTGTAAAACACTTAATATTTCTTAAAAGTATATATACGGAGTAAAAATAGGGAAATCATTTGCAACTATAACCAAAAATATTATGTCTTAAAAAGATGAATAACAAAATAAAGATAAATCACAGATATTGTATAATTGGGATTACTGACAGCATAAAACTGACAAAGTCTTCTTTCAAATTGAAGATAGAAAGTAAGAGTATGTTTGCATGGATGTGAGAAGGGAATGTATATAACTGCCGTATCTGCTCTTGGTACTTAAATACAAAGACTGTTTCATTCATAACTTAAGTTTGAGAATTTTTCAAATTTCAGAATCACAGAGAAGATGGCAGGGGAGGAGGGTCCGTATAACTACAACATCTCCGAGGCCCAGGCCATCATGGAGGAGATTACTAAGATACAAAAGTCCCTGAATTCTGGGGAACGGGAGAGACACGAGTTGATGCAGGTATATTTTGCAAGCTTTCAGTATATTTTTACCACAGTGTCCAGTAGGTTAGACCCAACTGCACTGTATGTCTTAACCAGCAGCTCTAGTCAGCCAAATGAAACTGAGGCTAGCTTTGGTCAGAGTGATTGAAAGACTCTATTTTTTTGCCTATATGCAATTCCTCATTAACTATTATTCATTTAATTTATTTAGCTTTTTACACTCAAAAAACACGACAGAAATGTTGTAAAAAAAAAGTTACATACCTTTTTTTACATTCTATAAAATTTATGACTTTGACACATTTCAAGATGTAGTTGATTTTTATAATGGATGTTTTTCAGTCTCTTGCACGTCTGAAGGAAGATTTCTTACTGAGCAAACTGCAGAGTGAGTCCTCACCTTCAGTGTCCCTCCTTTCACTGCAATATGAGAGACCAAGCACTGCCTCACAGACTGATGTTTCAGGGGAGGTGAGTAATGCCATCTATTTATAAATTTTCTGTTTAAAAATGGCATGTCTTGTACATTATTAATAAAATGATATATAAAAAGAAATATTTTTTTTCAAGCATTTTTTTTCTCCTTGTTTATGTACTACTTGAAAGTAAGGAAGAATATATATACAAACTTCAGAGGCATTATAAAATTTTATTGAATACTTTCTCCATAATTCCCAGTTATTTTGCCAATTATTTACTACAGCTGACCAATATCAGGTTCTCAAAAAGAAATTGTTTAGCATCTAAATAAGTTTGCTCAAACGTAACTGGTTCTTCGTACAGGAAGCTGTTGGACATTTCTTTCCAGGTAATATTATAAAATCTCACTTTCACTGAAGTGCAATTTTCATAACTTTGTGTTAAAAACCCAATTTTACTCTTTATGGCAGTACTTGGACACCAAAATGAGATTAGCCGAGATGACCAGACTGAGATTTAGCTACGATGAAGCCAGGAAAAGTGTGCAAAACCTCAAACATAAGTTGGCCAGTGTGGAGGAACGCATGATTCCTGGCCAGACAGAATCTGATAAAGATAGGTAGGTTCAAGACAACAAGTATGTCTTAGTTCCATACATGCCATAAACTAGAGCCATTAGCTATAGAATGGACTCACTGACTATAGAATGGAGCCTGTGAAACGAGGTCACTGTGATAATTGGAGGATGATAAAATGGACTTTCAGTGCAACTCTGCCAAACCAAAACTGTGTATGAATATTATATGTTAAAAAATTTTTTTCAAACTTGTGAATCATGATATTTCTAAAATCACTGTGGGCCTTGCTCTGTATTTAACATTTGGCTTACCTATTGCAATATTTTCCATTTAGATTATTATTGATTCAAGAAAAAGAGCAGCTACTACGTGAACTGAGAGGGTTGAGCAAGAAGGGCCGCTCACAAGAAGAAATACTTGAAGTGCGGCGCCAAGTACAACAATTAGAACATGACTTGGTCATGGCGATGGACACCTCTAGTCGGCAGATAGCTGAGAGGTAGGGGGACATTTATGATGTCATAAATAGCTATATGATGTCAAATAACTACTTGTGATGTCACGACTTATAATAATATACTAAAATGCCTTTATAGGTTGGAAAGGGATAGGATGACATTTGGTACAGTGTATACCACGTCAGGAATACATAGTTCCTGTTGGCACCATGTCTTATTTGACATACATCATTATCTTGCCATACAAATTTTAGTTAAAAAACATAATCACCTTCTTCAATGACTAACATCACTTACATTACCTCTTAAAACCTGATCATTTATCCTCACTCTATTGTCCTTTAGTAATTGCCAGGTCATCTTACTTTAGGGAACAGCCATGTATTGCTTCAAGTATCATAATTTTAACACAAAATGTACGTGACTAGACATTAAGGGTTCCCTTCCTGAATATCTGTGTGTTTTCTTTTGGATATTTTCTTTATGTTGTTGTCTTCTTTTTAGCGGCACCTTTGCACGTCTTTTCCGGAAATCTCCTTTTGCAAAGTTCCGCCGCTCAGCCACATCTTCTTCTCCTTCTTCATCATGTACCAAAGCAAGGTGACTGTTTGGTGTTCTGAGGTTGCAGCTCATATTATTACATTGCCTTTTATGCAGGGCCTGTAGTCACTATACTTATAGTCACTGTATTTATAATGCTAGTTGCTGCTTGAGCTACATTGACATTTGTCCACAGTGAGCATGTTTTTGTGGAAAAAAACTTATTTATTTATTTTTCTGAATGCCTGCATTGATCTGCACTGTTATTTCACCCCAGACTCTGTCTTACTCCATTTCAAATTCTTCGGAAGGTTAAGCATCTTTTATGCTCTACTTTATTACACCCACATCAACCATGCATGGGTTTTATTGCCCTGAGAAACAATGGCACATTAATTCCTCCTGTGTGAAAGAAGCAGCATAAACAACCAAGTGTCTGAAACATTCATTACAACATTGAAATATATACACATTCCTCCTACTGCAGCAGATTTCCTTACTGTGCACTTTGCATGGACATGTGGACAGAATATTTATACTTTTAGCTGCCATAAAAATTAGAATGTGTGACATGCTTTAATGTTCAGTGATTTCAATTGAGTTGAACATAAATTTAAAAAAACTTAACTTTAATAAAGCAGTTGAGTTCTCCTTCCTTTGGGGTACTTGTCCATACTGAATTTTGACATCTAAGTATATCTTTACTCTTCATTAAGTGAAGATAGGGATTAAACAGTTCGGTATATAACTGAAACCAGGAACAAAATGAATAATAACCTGTTGTATACTGTTTCAGATTAAAGCTTCAGGAAGAGAAAAATAAAATCATAGACCAGCTATCAGAGGCTACCCGTATTACAACCTACTTAGAGTCCCAACTTAAAAGGTGAGACATTTTCCTGTTATTTGAACACATTCAAATAAAATGAGCAAGACTCCATAAGGTGATATTAAATTCGATATTAGTATGTTCTTTCTTTAAAACATTTTGCAATTTAATAATAAAAAAATTGTCATGATTACTTACAAAAAAGTTTTAAAATTTGTAATTTTTATACAAAACATTTTGCATGAATCTTATGAATTTGTCAAATTTATCCCTTGCTTTCAAGTCTCCACCCAACCCATCTTGGGTTCAGATGAATATGTATGTGATTTAACATATAATCACTAGTAAATACAAGTCAGGCAAATAAGTATGCATACTAATTTCCAATATCATTTCACTTTCAGTATATCACTCAGCACATTGTCCATGTCCTCAGGGTCAAGTCGAGGGTCATTTGGTTCACTGGGGTCATTAGGGTCACTGTCGGCGAGCAGCAAGGGGTCATTAAGTTCTTTGAGTTTCACAGACATTTACGGGGGCCATTCCCCTTGCAACAGTGAGACAAACCTTCAGGATTTACATCGGAGGGTTGAGAAATTACTACAGGGGCATAGCATTTCTCCCATACATGAGATACAGGGTATGACGTCTTCAGCTGAGGATATCAACATTGGAGGGCCCCAGGGGTACATCCCCATACAAGGCATGGCCACAGCAGAGTATTTACCAATGCAGGGAGTGGCGTCATCTAACGAGGAGATTAACATGGCTGTACCACATGGGTACACGCCAAAATTAACAATAGGGTCACAGCAAAATGTCAGGCAGTCGCCATCGGCTGAGTCGCCATTGTCGTCAATTCCGACGCCACCACCAGTGTCGTCTTTCGATGTTGGACCTCCTCCGAGTTACGAGGAGCACATGAGTAACATGCAGAGGCAGAGGTTAATTCCTTCCTCTAAGACTGGTTCTAATATTGACCAATCAAACTTACTGAGCATACAGCAGAAATCTCAGCAGCAAGGAGGGGGGAGATCTGGTATGGGACCAGTCCCATCGCTGCCTCTTTCTGGACTAGAGTCTGGGAGTGAGGCTGTGAGTGTTCCACCTCTCAGCCCCATCAGTGAGTCCAGTTCCGGGGTGTGTAATACGTGCAACCTGTCTGGCGGGAACACCAGGAGTGTGTCTGCGGCCGTCAGTGACGAGTCTGTCGCTGGAGACAGTGGGGTGTTTGAGGCATCAATTAAAAGGTAAAGATCATACTTGAACTCAACAGTTTGATTTCTGCAAAAAAGTATAGTGGTAGCAGTAGCAGTAAACTGCATTCATTAGATTATGTGCTATTATGTTAAATGTAAGTGATCGTATCAGTTTGGCAGCATCATGAAAATGCAGTCTTGTTGACTAAATTGCATTTTATGGCAGTTCTTTAAAAGTTGCTGTCTTAATGGCGCTCCTCTTAGTCTTAGCAACTACATAGATCTGTCTTAAATCCATGACTCATAGGCAAGCTTACGTATCTCAAAGTGCAAATGGAGCCCAAAAGAGAATGTTTATTAGTTAGCTCTGAGCCAGTCTTGCATACAAACAAGATCATATTAACCTTGAAGTCTGTCTGGGTGAAATGATAGTTTACTTTTAGTGTCCCTGAATAAGATCTCTGCTGAGAGCTACAGAGCTTTCAGAACTGGGAGACTAGAGAAATAAAGGCTTAGGTTGTTTTTGCAGACAGTCACACTACAAATTTTTTTAATGCTGTAAGTCAGTTTTTAGAAGCATGACTTCAACAGTTGAAAGGAAAAGAAGGGGATGTGTGGAGGACACTTTAATTTCAAATTTCAAATTGTACCCATTGCTAAGAATGACATTGAGCCTTCTAAGTGTATGATTTACCCAATTTTTTCAACATTCCCAGGCAGTATTTTATTTGCCTTTTTTATTATCTTAAACTGTTACATTTAGTATATTTAGGAAAAGCCTTGATCACAGGTAAAGCATAAAAAAGACCAGCAGCCATACATTACTACGTGGACCAGTAGTCTGTTTTCCAATGCTTAGACATTATGTACTATTTAAGGCACCATATATCACTATTATGAGAATGTTATGGCCACTGTTGGGATAATTATGATGGCTAACATTTGTTGTGGTACTAGTAAACACGCAAAGTGATATTGCTGTGAAGATAAGGCCAGACTGATAGGAATGCATACTATGATTTACTGTATTATTGTTTTCAAGTGGTATTCAAAAAACTTGTAAGAGGATTTGGGGGGAGAGGGGGAGGGCTAAAAATTCTTGTATTTGTGGTTTACACAATTCCCAGAATGTAAAAGTTGAAGTTAAAAATACCTTAAATTTAATCAAGTTTTTCATCATTTCAGACGTGGTGAATTTGATGATGCTTTTGACCTTGGTCTGGAGTGTGCACAGGTCCAGATTAGGCTTAAGTAAGTACACATGTATGCACACACGCACACACACGCAGGCATTCATACATGCACGCATACATACTTAGAATGCATATCAGTGCAATAATTGTGTAACATATTCTTTATGTACATGGTAATACTCTAAGTGTATTGTAGATATTAAGGAGTAGTGGTTCTGCCCAACGTAAATGTATTGTAAGGTATGGAAAGTGAAATATTCCATGTTATCTATATATATAGGTATGAGGCAGTTGAGGGACAGCTCCATATAGGTTTGGAGAAGGCAAGGAACCTGGCAGCCATAGCAGCATTACCTGAGAAAAGTCAAATGTAAGTCATTATAATGATGATGATGATGGTGGTGATGGTGATAAACAGTTCTTTAAAGATCACAGTGGTTGAATTGTGGAGATGCAAATTTGCTTTATATTTTTATCACCATCATCAGCACTTAATTGTTGTTGTGGTTGTTATTGATCTTAAATTTATCACTGAGCAAGGAGAGACCTAATAAATGGCGTTTATAAGAAGAGAATTTCACGTCAACACTTTTGCAAAACTCAGAGAATTTTTATTTTCATTTTTTCCAGTTTTTTTAACCCATACAAGTATTTGTTAAATGCTTTTGATTAATGAATTGATTATTCTGTAAGCTAAGATTGTGCTATTAAAGACACAACTTGCTTTATTTCAGATGTTTAAAGGCAGCTCTTCTTCCTAACTTGACTGCTTCATTTGCCACTCAGTTGTCAAAGGACATCAACAGTCCAAAATTCAATGAAACTTTTAAAGTTGCAATCTCGGAGAGCAAGCTAAGGGCCAAGACGCTGTCTGTTAGTGTGTGCAGTACGACTGAAAGGAAAGACGCGGAAGTCCTGGTGAGTTCTTCGTATTTTTGACACGTTGCCATCAAGAAAATAAGGTGGAAATTTTGTTGGTCTAGTGCCCTTGATTGTATCCAGAGAAATTTGAAAGAAAAGTTTTAAGAGATGCCACACACTACCATCCTAGAGAATCTTTACTCCAAAAAGGCTGTAAAACACCTCTTTTAAAAATGCACTCACTGTCTTGCATAGAGATTCTGGCATGATGAGTGGGAATTAGATTAGGGAGGAAAATATTGAAAAGTGCCAAAACACACAAACTGTAAAAATAGGGAGCTTCTTTTCACCCCAGGTTTGTGTTTTAGGAAAAAAATACCACAGACTTGTCTGACGATAATTTGTGATGACTAACCAGGAAAACTTGTAAGAGTGTACTTCATTGCACATGAACTAGGCTTGATTTGAACTCATAACATGCAAAGTGGAATTTCTCATACACGAAAGCAACTGATATATACACCATGCTAGATTTTTGGACGTTTGTTTCCAAATAAGGAAATGACAAATTTTTTGGTTTATCGTGCATCTTAACCATATCAAGTATAGTTACATTTCTGCATGCATAACTGACTTTGATCAGATACCTTATGGAACCACCCATGTAATGTTGACTAAGACTAATGAAAATGCTCTTTTTTTCCCACAATTCCAGGGCTGTGCCCAGGTGAGCTTGGCAGACTTTGACCCCAAACAGGTCACCACCAGGTGGTACAATGTCCTCAGCTTCAGGTTTATGCATCAAGAGAGCAAGAGGAGCCCATCCAAGAGCAGCAGCAGATCCAGTGGAAATACTGTGGCAGACAGGAACAGTGCAGACAGGGTAGCACAGCTGCTGGAGAAATCCTCTGCAAAATTACAGCAAGCATCTATGAATGATGAGTCTCAGCAGAGCAGTGACAGTGGGAAAGATGGAAGGTATGTGTCTAATTAACTCAAATGATGGTCTTATGAAATAAATATGATTATTTTCCTTATTTTAAAATGAGCTGTAACTTAATGCATAGTGTCTATTGTAGATGGAAGGTGTGATTTGATTAAACTAAAAAATTGCCAGGTAACAAAATGTCTTAAAAATTGACATCAATTTTCACTAATTACCTTACACAGACTATTTTAACCAATTCATTTGCTCTGTGAATCCAGGGTGCGTGCCTCTTCCTTGGATGCCTCCCTGTTCAGGGGCCAGATTTCTGCCGTCTCCACAATGAAGGAGGAAAGCTCAGACGAGTCCACCATCATCTCCTCACAGACATCCACCCTGACACGTAACCAGGGTCAGGATGATATGGATCAGATGAAGTTTGAGATCACACCAATGTCATCTGATGACAGTGCCGATGAAGAGGACACAGAAGAGGAGGTATGGTCAAATATTAAAGTTGGGGGGGGGATATGGATGTCTAATGGACTGCATAAAGTTAAGATATGAAAGTTCAAACATTCTGGAACTGTGTAAAGTGTTGTTATGTTTAAAATTGCAATTCCACAACAAAAACCTCATATAAGCAAAAGATAACTTAAATTTTAAATTTTCATAGAGGCGAAACTTAAGTTGAATTATGTATAAGCTTCCATCTAGAATAGAACTAGTATAAACTTCATTTTTATCATCATATTTTTAAACAAATGTATGTAAATGTAGTAAAATTTTGGGCCATATGAAAAGATAAAGAGCAGTTTTTACAGGGTATTAACCAAGGAAGACTTTCTGTTACCATTTTTTGCCATTTTATATGGTGAAATTTGGTCCATTAAAAAAAACATGAATTAATTGGATGGCATATTTCAGAAGAGGGACTCTTTTGTGATCCCGGATGACGTGGACATCTTAGAAAACTACAGTGGTGCTGAGATAACGGAAAGTGAGAGCCAATTTGGGGAAGGAGAGGAGGAGGAAGAAGAGGATGATTTTGTGGAAGATTATGATGCAGATACAATCAAAATGGAGGATAAAGAGACCAATACGGAGGGCAATTACAAACTGAAGAACCGCGTCGGGGAGAACAAGCGTCGCTCACATGCAGAGACAATGCGATCCAGGAACAGCTGTATACGCAGATCGCAGACTTTCTCACCAGCTGGCGGCCATGTTAATGCCAATTCCTACATATGCAAGGTAAGGATTTTCTTCAGTTTGTGGCTAAGAACCAAGTCATTGTCTCTTAATCCTTGATTTTAATGTTCAAAGGCAGTGAAAGTGAAGCATCATTATCAGTTTTATTTCTACAACATAACTACTTTGACTCTGGAAAACATGATAAGCATTTCATTTTCAACTCCACATAACAAATGTGATTGTGGTATTATTGCAGCTCAACCGTAGTGACTCTGACAGCTCCATGCCTCTGTATAAGAGGGCACCTTTCCAACGCAACACCTTGGAGAGGAGAAGCCTTCGATGGAAAAAATTGCCTGGTGTGAACAGCTCTGCGGCAACCAAACTGAGGCCATCACCAGAACGAGGCAGCATGAGAACATCAATCGACCTTGAACTTGACCTCCAGGCCTCGAAGACAAAATTTATTCACCTACAGGATGAGATAAATCGTCTTCGTGATTTAAAGAAGGTGATGGAAGAGGCAAAAGCTAGAGGTAAATAAAAGAAAAAAATGCCAGTAGCAGAATAGCCTGCCTAGTGAATAGAACAATGTTATCATAGTCATGATCATAGTTGCCATCTATTGCAGAGACTATAAGTTCAGAAATGGCTTAAAAGAAAGTCGTAAATATATAACCTGAGCTGGATTTCCAGTAGTCTTCATCAACTCTACATGTCATATTCTTTTTATCTCAGGTGAAAGTGAGCTGCCTAGCTGGTTTACAGACAGTGAACAGATGCAGCAACTTTTACAGGAGGCAGACAACCTGGTTAGTACAGTTTCAACTCCAGAAGAAAAGAAGCTGTTAACTTTCTGAGGCTGGAGCCTGACATGGAGCACCAAAAATTATTATTAAAAAAAAAAAAAAAAATTCCCACAAAGCTTTTAAAACAGAAAAACGAATTTCTGTTAGTAACCAGTTTCTTAGATGATAAAAAACATCTTCTACATTCAATTATGACCATTATAGGAAAAAGATTCATTCATTCATTACCATAAATAAATAGATGTAAAAAGTATAATGGTATATTCTAAGGCCTTTGTCACTTATGTTGTTTGTATTTGTCTTGCAGTTGAACAGGCCCCAGGGTAGCTATATCTCCCGTCAGGACCAGAAGGCGGAGAGACTGATGAGGAAGATCACCAAAGAGGCTCACAAGTTACGAACACAGGAGGCTCCAGATGTCTTGTCTTTCAAGTAAGTACCATGATAATTGAGTTTTATGTTTTGACAAAGAAAATGAATGCATTTTGAACTGTTAGTTTATGTCCTGATATCTTTCCTCTCTTATCCTTGCTTCATTGGTCATGAAATATTTATTTCTATAATTCTAGTTATTTTCACAAGTATGTAAAACTTAAAAGGAAAATATTTTGTTTGAATATATTATATAGGATGGCTCTGTTTCAGGAAATTTTTATCGCACTGCAGCAATTGATTATATCTCAAAATTATTTACATTTTAGAGAAAAAATGGCCTTCTTCACCACAGTGAACATGAAAGTGCCAGCTATCCCACCAGAAGACCTCGATCTTATTGGGAAGACACCCGCTGCAAAGTCCATAAAAGAAGATGAAATGAATAAAACTGCTGCAGCTATTGCTGCTGTTGCCATTGAAGAAGCCAAGCAGGGACTGAAGCAGGAAGTGAAAAACAAGTGAACAGATGAATGATATGTGACAGTAACATCAAGTGAATGAATCGTATCTAATGTGACAGAAGCAGTGCCAGAACTCTACTTTTCTGCAGTCGAGAAGAAAATGGAGTTTATCAATAAGGCATATGCATTGTCTGTAAGCAGATATGTTACACTGAAACTGCCAAAGGAAACTGAGATGCTGAGTGACCTCATAACAGATAAATCAGTATTGTCCTCTCAGCTTAAGGAACTGTAAGAACATCCCAAAAGAGAGCGAAAAGTTGTGTTTCTCTCTGTATACAACTAGACACAAGATAGCAGTCAAAATTGAGGAACAACAAAATTCTGGAGACCAGAATAACTGTAGAACATGAAAGGATTTACAGCAAAGAGGATGGAAAAGGCATTTATGTCCCATCAAATAAACTCGACAAAACTGCTTTGATTCAAGAGAGCTGTATGTGGCTCAAGAGGCTGAAGTTGAGAAGTCGATTTGCTCACAAGTGTTCACAGGGCTGCCGCCACCTTCAGACTTGTATTCTTTTTGTTCAGTCCAAAAAGAGTTCAGATTCTCTGCAATACGAGTTTTATACCAACTGATATTACATGGGCACTGCCTGGGCACATTCTCGGGTCTTCCTTATTGAGGAAGGAGGTCCTTTTCACTACCAGCAGGTAGTTTGGAATGAAGTGGACAGAGTGTGAATGTTGTGTAGATTTTAATAGATTTTGTATTGAGGATTGGTTTTAGATAAGCTAGAACTATGCAAACCCCCCTGTGTTCAAGTCCCATTTTCTTACAATAAATGGGCAAAAAATGTAGCCCTCATTGTAACCTTGTGAGATGCATGTTGCCATAACTGGTTTTATATGTGTAAGTGCAACAAATTTTTGTAATATCAGAATGTATTGACTATTTCCTAGCCTCAAAATGTTTAACATAGCTAAATGTTTGGATTGTAAGATGTTTTGCAGGATACAGTGAGTAAGAGCAATTTATAAAAAATTAATTCCAGTTTGGCACTCTTCGGAATGTTACTGATGCATTAAGAGCAATCTAAAAAAAATTAAGGAGGTAGTGCCTTTAAAGAAACCCCCCTCATGGATTTGATAAGTTTTTTAATGGTAATTAAGTATAAGGGTCCTATGATAAATGACCTGGGGTGGGTGAGTCAAAGTGTAGTTAAAGATAATTGTAGTTAAAAATTTATTACCTGTTTTAGAATTGATCACAGGCATAAGACATGTTTTACAGATTTTATTTAATTAATTTTGGGGGGTCAAGGTTTTCATTGCCCTTTTGTTTTTATTTATTTATTTTTATCTTTGAAAGTTTACAGAATTAGCTGGGTTAACATAAAAAGACCTTTTAAATTAAGTAAAATATTCATTACAAAAGTGTTTTAAGGGTTGGTAGGGTGGCATTAGGCTTAATTAACATACTGTTTGTCAAGTAACTATTTATATGTGTACAAAAGAAAAAAAATGAAAAAAAAAAACGAGAGCACTTCATCGAAGTAGTAGCTGAATAATGAAATAACAGTTTAGGGCAAGAACCCTATCACAGCTTGTTATGGTATCCTATGTGTGATCATGTCTACAATTTTGATTATTATTATTATTATTATTATTACTTGTTAAATAGTGTACAAATGTTGTAAAGCTACTCCCTGTGTATATATTTGTATGTGAATATTCACAGTTGTCATGGAAACCAACCTCTTCATACGAAAGTGTTTCTTATGATCGACCCAACGGAACGTTCCTATCACTCAAAGGTATTATTATATTATTTGTTAAATGTAAATGTTTACAGGTGTCTTTTAAATGAAAAATAGCTTTTAAAAACTGTTAAAAATTGTAATGAGACACCTAAATTAGTTTTAATCCTTGTCATAATATATATAAGTATCGGCAGCCAGCCATTCCCATTTCATCATTTTTATTCATGTTTGATTGAGGAGTGAAACGCAAAAAGGATGAGTGGTGGTTGAAATTTTGTTAGTGTCATCGTTCTCTCAGTAAGTTCAAGAATATACTCATGGACGGTTAGATCCCCGCTATTACAGCCTGTACCGCAAGTTGGGTAGCTGTAGACTTTGTGTATAATTTCCCGTCCTCAATATACACGCCACCAGTGCCGCTGCCTCGCCTTTTTGTCGCCCCCCTCCTTAACGTACGGCATGGTTTGTGCATACACCACTCCTTATTACATCTACTACGTGTACCTTCTGTAGAAGATTGACAGAATCGAACTGGAACATTTATATTTTGCATAAAATAAAAACATTGAAAATATATTTATTTTACGTTTGTTGTTGTTGCTTGCTTGCTCTCTCTCTCTCTCTCTCTCTCTCTCTCTCGTGTTGATGCATATATAAAACGGGTTGCAAACTCACCTAGGTGTTAATTCTATTAACTTCGTGTTGTATGATAACTCTGTTAAAAGCTCGATAAATCATCTTACATCCAGTAACGTTTTTATTCACTTACAGGTTACATCATATAGAAAAGTACACCACTTCATGGATAATAGCTTCTGTGAAACGCGCCATCACAAATGTAGATATTATTGATTTTCTTATCCTCTTAGATTAAAAGGTTAGATACGTAAGAGTGGTTTTGACGTGAGTTTGGTATATACGACTATCTTTAGACTTGCATTTGGTCATAAAATCAAAAAGGTAGAATACCGGACAAAGTTGTGTCATAGCAAAACACAGTAGGGCCTAATAACTAATATGCATTGTTATTCTCCGTTTTTCCTGGTCATTAGTCTAAAGGGTTAGATTCCATGACATATTTTACAACAATGTTATACATAATTTAATCAAGAGAAAATTACTTCAATACTTCCCACGCTATTAGTTAAAATAATTGATTCAAAACAAGTGAAATTGCTGTAATGATCATTTGGTTCTAGTCATTAGTTTAGAACATTCAACTCGTTTTCAAAGTATTGTGTATTTTGTCAGACGAAAGCATTCCGTACGCTGGCCTAAACACACGAAGCTATAGAATTCGATATTCATTATTTTGGTTTTGTTTCGAGACACGAAAATTCATCATTCTTTAGGTTTCAGTATCAAATATATTGTTATGTTCTAAAATATATTGNTTTTTTTTTTTCTCTCTCTCTCTCTCTCTCTCTCTCTCTCTCTCTCTCTCTCTCTCTCTCTCTCTCTCTCTCTCTCTCGTGTTGATGCATATATAAAACGGGTTGCAAACCCACCTAGGTGTTAATTCTATTAACTTCATGCTGTATGATAACTCAGTTAAAAGCTCGATAAATCATCTTACATCCAGTAACGTTTTTATTCACTTACAGGTTACATCATATAAAAAAATGTAAACCACTTAATGGATAATAGCTTCTGTGAAACGCGCCATCACAAATGTAGATATTATTGATTTTCTTATCCTCTTAGATTAAAAGGTTAGATACGTAAGAGTGGTTTTAACGTGAGTTTGGTATATACGACTATCTTTAGACTTGCATTTGGTCATAAAATCAAAAAGGTAGAATACCGGTCAAAGTTGTGTCATAGCAAAACACAGTAGGGCCTAATAACTAATATGCATTGTTATTCTCCGTTTTTCCTGGTCATTAGTCTAAAGGGTTAGATTCCATGACATATTTTACAACAATGTTATACATAATTTAATCAAGAGAAAATTACTTCAATGCTTCCCACGCTATTAGTTTAAATAATTAATTCAAAACAAGTGAAATTGCTGTAATGATCATTTGGTTCTAGTCATTAGTTTAGAACATTCAACTCGTTTTCAAAGTATTGTGTATTTTGTCAGACGAAAGCATTCCGTACGCTGGCCTAAACACACGAAGCTATAGAATTCGATATTCATTATTTTGGTTTTGTTTCGAGACACGAAAATTCATCATTCTTGAGGTTTCAGTATCAAATGTATTGTTATGTTCTAAAATATATTGTTATGTTCTAAAACCGTATAATCCATCACTCTACCATAACATGCAATGAGTAACACTCATCGATTGGGCAGCTAAGTACCAGTAGCGCACTGAAAGATTTTGACCAGGTCTAAAATTTTTAACCACGGTATTTTTTATGAAAGGTCTTAGATGAGTTCGTGGCATAAGGTCAATGAAAAATTGGATAATGTAGGCAAAATTTAAATGTGAATATTCCCAATGGCATAGGCAGCTTTAAAACAACTTCCAGGGTGGCCGAACTGAGTTCAAACTCTGTGTTGTGACTATTTCATTTTCATGTTTCTTTCTTGATCATCACACTTGACCAGTTGGGACCGAAAACATTCGTTTGAAAACCTTTTTTTTAATTGTTGAGATCCCTTTAAATATGACCAACATTCAAACTTATATATAAATGAAATTAAGATCTTGTTAGAATGTCTCAGACACACAAAGGCATTGATAAATAGGAAGCATCATCCCTTTCAAGGTTGTAGAAAAATATTTTCCCGTACCTGGAAGGGGGGGGGGTAATTGGAACTCGCTTTACAATTTTTGAATTACAACCCATGTACACTTGTAGTAGGATAAACCTTCAAGATTTAAATACAAAGCACAAAATTTTAAATACAAAATTCAGCAAATAACAGTCAAACATTAATAGAGCTAGGAGATCCGGGCCCCTGTCTTGGAAAATGTTCTTGTCATGACCCAAAATAATCGATGAAATAAACATCGGACTACGATCACGACAGAAAAAAAGGCTACTGGTAGAGGAATTAGAACACAGGGGCAGACAACGAGGCCTATAATGTTATAATTGCAGGCCTATTCANTTTTTGAATTACAACCCATGTACACTTGTAGTAGGATAAACCTTCAAGATTTAAATACAAAGCACAAAATTTTAAATACAAAATTCAGCAAATAACAGTCAAACATTAATAGAGCTAGGAGATCCGGGCCCCTGTCTTGGAAAATGTTCTTGTCATGACCCAAAATAATCGATGAAATAAACATCGGACTACGATCACGACAGAAAAAAAGGCTACTGGTAGAGGAATTAGAACACAGGGGCAGACAACGAGGCCTATAATGTTATAATTGCAGGCCTATTCATTAATCTTCCTATGCTGACAAAGATCGATGATGCCTATATTGGGTGGGTAGACAAAAAAAGAGAGAACTGAACCATACCAAAATGGATACACTTTTAGTCTCGCTTGAGCAATGTTTTGGCGTTTTAACAAGGTATGCGATGTTTTTAGAAGTTATACAGTGCGTGTTAGAATGGCCAAAAATTAATTTTCCTGGCAGTTTCAGCAATTTTCTCTTTACCACCAAAGTGTACTCTTTGCATTGGCTATAATACGATTATTAAATCTGTTTGTGTTCTTTATTTTTTTTTTTATTTTACCGTAACAAATGAAGGTAACCAGATTCTAACTTCATCTCGTGAATGATACAAAAGCTGAAAATTTAAAATTCAAAAATGGGCTCATGGATCGCAATTCTGTGAACGGTCTTGGATGTAGCATACAATACATTGCTGATTAATGGAAAGAGTTGAAATTTCCAGGGAAATCATAATGATGATTATAAACATTTAATGCTCGTTGTGCACCTTCGATCATTGTGTCTGGATCCGCTTAACTGAACACGTCCGTCAATTTAACCAGGAACTAATGGCCTTGATATAAACGAGACTGGAAACTGATGTCGTGAATCGGTCACTATTTCCGTAACCAAAGTTATCAAACAAACTGCTGTGCTTAGCAACCTTTGTTTAAGAAACTTTTGTAATGCTTTAACTACAAAATAATAGTAATAATGATAATTTTATATACAGGTGAAAATAAATCTGAAAATAATACGGAGTGCAAGGTGCTTGAATTCTTGATTCGCTTTGTGGCCAGCAATTCGTTTTTATAGTTTTTATTGGTGCAACCTAATTCCGAAATTGGGCCAAGTTGAATTCTTTCACTAAACTTGAATGTACAATCTAGTGAACAGAGTTAAATTGTCATCAAATAAATAAATAAATAAATAAATAAATAAATAAATAAAAAGACAAGACTCCATGACATTTCATACGTTTTTGCATTTTTCACAATAGAAGAAAACTGAATTTTTTTCTCGGAATATAATGAATACAAACCTTGGTGATTAACATCATGCAAGCACTTAATGAAACGACAGATCGCATGACGGAATGATCAACAACCATAATTCGTTTTATTCGTGTTGAAAGGAAGGCGCTTGGTGTACAGAACGCTGACAGAAAACAACGTTAGGATGATTAATTCAACGTGCATTTTATGATCTCAGAGACTTGGAGGGAAAGATAACAAATTGGAAGCACGACAACTGAGTACAGAACGCCGAGTGATTAACAAGCATTGTACGTGCACGCCGAGCCAGTTCGATGATTCGGGGCCATAGTTTTCCATGGCAAGTCTGGGGTTCTCAATAGAGTGAATAGACAGAGGGCAACGTCTTGGGATCATGATCCTACATTTACTCATCATTTGCTTTTGTCTTGAGCGATGCCACACTTTAAATGAAGGTGAGACAAAACACTGGAACAAACGTCAAATGGTGAAGTTGATATTTTAATTGCCCTTCTCTGTTTGAGCCATGTTTGACTACGATTCAAGGATTGGCTTGAATATGAAGGCAAACCCAGGCTAAATTCCGTATTAGTTATATTGTGCTTTTAGTGACCAAAGACAAACAACACTTTGAATTCATTATAAGTTTTAAAATAACAGTCGTTTTTACTGAAGCAATAGTCGGACTGAATAATTCCGTACACATCAATTCTTTCAAGTTTGGCGACATATGTTAAGTAAACCGAAAATTGAGTATATGAGAATATGAAATACAAATTAAATAGCATATCGTGGAAGCATAGCACTTATGAAAATATCTGATGGTAATTTCAGGTTCCACGCCAATGCCTCTTGGATTTTGGCCGCTTGATTCCGCTTTCCAAACGAAGGACATTTCAGGTTACGAGAATCACGGAATAACGGCCTGTGAGACCAACGGTTCAATCCCACCGGGTTTTACTCAAAATCCCTTATTTATCACGTCATCTTGCTATGTCCAGATTCCCAATAATGGACAGTTAACCATTAACGGTTCATTTACGTTCCTTTTCATCATGCGGGCGGGCGACCCGGGAGCCGCATCTTCCCTTTTAACCTATACAAACGAACCTGGAAGCAAGGATGGTTTCTTTATTACTAAATCCAGCAATTATTATTTGGTATATTTCAATGGGTACAAAATGGCTGAAATTTTTATAACGAGTATCAGTATCACCGATATGCAATGGCTGGCGTTTGCCGTAACCTATAATAGTTCAACCGGATATTTGAAATTAAAAACTCTGTATCTGGAGACTTCTGAAACGTTAGGCAACTGGACGGACACATATATTTTAAATGTGGGCTCCAGAAGGCCAGCGACGAACTATCCATATTTGTGGATAGGTGGTGAATTCAACAGTGTTTCATTATACCCTCTGCCTCCATTCGTCGGGGATTTTACATGCCTCCAAGTGTATAATTACGAACTAACAGAAATTGAACTGGTTACTGCTTTGAGCTATTGTGATGACGCTAGTAATGGTATAGTTGAATCTCTCTCTCTCTCTCTCTCTCTCTCTCTCTCACACACACACACACACACTTACACACACACACTTATAAGACAATTTTTAAAGCGATCATTTTTTCATTTCGTTCATTTTGTTTGTAATTCCACATTCAGTACAAAAACACACACGTGCACATAAACGTGTATTTGTGTGTAATCTTTTTTTTTATTTCTGTAGTCACCTTTCCAAATGGTAATGAAGACCATACAGGTCTTTCAAGTGATACAGTGACTGTGGAAACAATTGTTACAGACACAGATGTGATTGCAACGGAATCATATTATGAAACAACAGTGACGCTCACAAGCCTGGCTACCTCTACGATGGTTTCAGGCTCTTTTACTGAAACCACTGAGGTATTGTTGACATTGTCATCTTCATCAGAAACGCCGTTTCACAATTCCGCCAAAGCACAAGCTTCAACTTGGATAGAGGCCACATCTGGAACTGAAACGTCAACTAGAACAGAGAGTGGAGCAGAAATAGAAACTACAAACGCTATTAGCTCCCCTTCTTCCGCACCAACACCTGAAACACCCAACACTTCGGATTCACCGGTCGTGACAGCGACTTATGAAGTTCTGTGCGTGGTGGTCCCAGTTGTGGGGAACGCAACAGCAGCTGGGACCTCTCCGATTTCTCCTTATATCGACGTGTCCATCACATACGTGTGCGACGACGGCCATCGGTTCCCCGGTGGACAGAGGTCAGCCACAACACGCTGTACTGGTGTCGGCTGGAGGCCCGTTTTGCCCGACTGTGAAGGTGAGCTGATTTATTGATTTTAGCCTTATTTGTTTTTTTACAAACGGAAACATATACCATATCACTTACCCATAGGGTATGGCAAAATAGCCTTCGTATTTTTAGGGCCAGTTAGCATGCCTCTGCAAATATTAATTAGTGAACACTATTCTTATAAATCCTACATGTAAAGATAGCTCCTATTAAGTTTATTTTGCACAGTCTGTATCAGTTATCCGCCTAAACTGTTACCGCGCTCCCACTTTTTAGTGCATGAAAAAGTTCATGTCCACACTGAAATGTGCACATCAACTTATAATGAACCAAAGTATATTGGTCTATGGTTTGGGTTAAATTTTTAGTCAGAAGCTGAAAATGCCCACTATATCAATCACACTTTAAAAGTCAAACACCGGGCATGGAAAAATAATGAATCTCATGTACCTGTAGGATCCCACTACTTCTAAATCGGCCACCATTATCCGAAGAGAATACTGCCCGTCGCGGTTATATGAGCATAATATTAAAGGATGAATAAAGACGGAATGCAATCCATCTTTGTAGTGTTTCCACGTTTCCGAACGTGCGTTTTTGCCAAAGCGTTAAATGGCTTTGTCAGACAAAAACAACTTGGCCGAGGAAAAGGGTTTGCGCTTCAAGGAATATCAAACGTGTGCTGCAGCCCGTGAAAAAGACGTCGACGGACGTTGGGAGCTATGAAAAACAACATTTGTAAAAGATACTGCAACATTGCTGTCGTGCATTTTCTTGTTTTTAAGCTTTTGTAAGGATTGTGTCATAGATATAAATTGGTATGGCAAGCTGGCTTTCCTTTTTGATGTCAATTAAATAACATAAACTTCGTTCTCTTCACAGTTTTATCATAATTCTTAACAATAAAACTCAAAATATATAATTTTTTAGTCAGATGCTTGGAACCCAGAAAAATTCAGAATGCAGTCTTTGTCTCAAACTGCACGGATTACATCTACGACTGTCGTCTGCTCTACACCTGCGTGAATGGCACGTCTTTCCCAGATGGCGCCACAGAACGCACAGTGCGATGTACAGAAAAAGGGGTCTGGAGTGCGCTCCATTTGAGTTCGTGTACAGGTAAATCCTCATACAATAACTTAACACGGGCCTTTCTCGACTTTAGCTATTTGAACAAGTACATTTTAGCCAAATAACAAACAATTTTAAAATTTACCTTTAGCTCTAATTACAAATAGAAAAAAAAATATATATAGTAATGTAAATAATATTATATATACCAAAGCTACAAGATAAAGTAACTGTTACAAAAATTCGTTTTCACTCTTAAAGGCTTTCACTCAACATTTCAATGTCAGCATAGATTTTTCGCTCACGCACATTAAAATGTCGTAATACTGACTATTTAAAACGACTTACTAGTATACAAATACTGGATAATTGTTCTTTTACCTCCCAGATACTCAAATCGATGCAGTAACCCCCAGACCCCCGGGCTACCGTAAAGTCCCCCTGGAGGCCCCGCTGAGAGTCCTGATACCCTGCGGAACATTCGCGATCTTGGTTATATCTTCCATAGTCGGTGGAATATTTCTCAGCGATATTCCAACATTGTACAAGCACTCCAGGATAATAAGGCGGTGGATTCGCAGAAAATGCTGCGGAAAAAAACGAGTGATGCAGCAAGTCCCAGGGTCGCCCCTTGAACCACGTTTAAGAACTGGGCATAACCCAACACGAGCTTTACAGCAGAAGAATTTGCGGGAGTAGAAGTATCCAGCCATCAGCGAATACAAAACCATGTTAAGATAGTATTCATGTAATCTTATTTTCATTTCAATCAAAGGGTATTATTAATATAGCTTGAGCTCGTACTGTGGTAAAGGCCGATACAGATGAGGTGGCAAGTCCGAAATGCGCTTCAGGAAATACTGGAAAACAGTATCTGCAAGAAATCGCAAAACTAAACGGAACAGTCTTTAAAAGATTGAACAATCACAAACTTTTACTCTGCGGTGGGGGTGGTTGAACTCCCGAGCCGAAAGCACGCTGAGTAGAGAGAGAACTGAAATTTTGCCTCTATTACACACGTTCATGAGGTTTAGAAACATTTAAAGCTCTCGATAGTATCAAGCCCACTGCACTTAGGTGACACACATAAAGATCAGCTCCTGTAGTCGTAGGCACGTCAACATGCTGACAACAGGAAAAATGAAAAATACGATTCAGAAAAATGTTCTAAAAACACCATATCGATATTTATTTATCATGATGATCAATGAAAACGGCCCACTCAAAACACACTGCGCACTTTAGAATTCATATTATATTACATTTACATTATATTATACAGTAATCTAGTAACACCCATTTGCTTGTGTAGGCTGAAATCTAAACTTTCTCTTTTTTGAATAAATGACTTCTATAACATGGGGCAAATGAACCCCAACAAAGGGAACTGGACATGGATACAACTGAGATCACCCGTAGTTTCACAGTTTACTGAAAACTCATTTCATTTCAGCATGCACCTGCCATTTCCAATCACAGTGAAACCCAGGGTGCTTCACAATTTTTTCCAGAAAACCTCAAAGTAAGAAAGAGGAGAAACACAATTGTTCATACACTCTTGCTCCTAAGACAGAAATCTGTTTTTGGCAAGTCACACAATCAGAATTCCCAAATTCTCAGGATTAGTGTTCTTATGATTAGACTCCTCTACACCAGCATATTCTTGTGGCCACTGAAACCGTGATTAGATGTAGTTCAGGGTAACCCTTGTTATTCACTGTGTTACTCAAATAAATACATCTACTTTCTGTGTGTTCACACATGGCAAATGTTGCTATTGGTGTTTTATACAGCCCAGTATCTACACAATTTTACAGGCAGGAAAGTTAAAGCTGTGGTAGCTTATTCAAATGTTTTGTCCTCCGACTTGTATTTTGACGCAGTATAACAGCTTTCAACAAAGAGTAGAGCACTAAGCTTGCATTAGGACAGCGCCACATTTCTCCAGTGTAAACACATGTGACTATCACTCCTATGTGAACTGGCTTCCTAGATTTTCAAGTGGTATATCTACATAGTTCTTTTTGTCCCTTCTTATTTGAAGTTTGATGCTAGGTTTAGTATTTTCTGACTCGGTATTGTCAGCTAGTTGGTCCTTTGGATTGTTAACTACAAGTTTTAAAGAAGCACCTTTGTGGAACAATTCCCGCTCATGTGCTAAAGCTAACTGCGACACAACTCTCTTCTCAACCTGAAGAAGATAATGGGAGTATTTATAAGGTGTGGTTATAATATATGCTGTCATTGTTTGTTAAAGCACAACACAAAGAGAAATATATATATCCGTATAAATGTTTACAGGGTAATGGATTCCCGATGTTGTATATTTTAACATATCTATTGTATAAATAATATTTTATCTCTTGTCTCTTATGTAGTTAACCTCAAGAATACTTAGTGTAAAAATTTTTAAATAATATCCTCTTTGTCTTTATTATATAATTTTTTTCATATTTTCATCAAATAAAATTCTAATTAAGTGTATAATAAATAAATATATTAGATAAGTATGTGTTTATACACCACCATTTCATCACCATTAGCCAGCAGTGACAACAGAAGTAATGATAATAGTTCTAGAGTGTATTTAGTAACTGTAATCCCAGAAAATGATCACAACTGTACCTCATGTTTAATAGACCTTGCCCCATAGTGGACATCATAACCATCTGCCAAGACATCCACTACCTGTCTGTCCCAGCTCAGTTCTATATCATGGTTCTTCTTTGCCTGTGGTCAAACAGAAATTCTGTTAGAATTGTGATGCCACAAAACAGAAAAGAACAGCAACAATAAGTTGATGCCACTCTATTAGGTTTCAATTATTTCATTATCATGTCAATGTTATTCAAGAGACTTTTAAGATTGATCTATTTAAGTAATGTTACATTTTCTTCGTTTTCTTTCCTTCAAAGAAACTTTAATAATTTTAAATATTAGTATTATTTAAAATTCTGAATAAAGTAAATCCACAAGTGACTTTAAACAATTTGTTCTGCTGTAAATTTGTATCATGAAACCTACATTTGAAAAAATAAAATAAAATAAATGCAAAATAAATGCAAAATATGATAAATGGATTTAATAAAACTTTTAAAGCCTTAAAAAGACAGATACTTTAGCTGCCCAGTACTCCAGCTCCCAGACCACCAGTTTACTCAGCTCTTGTCTTGAAAAAGGAAGGAAATACACCATCTCATTGATTCGGCCAAGGAACTCATCCCGACCAAAATGTCTCTGGAAAGTTACATAAAAATTGTTCCAAATGATATGCTTATCAGAAGGAAAAAAGCAAAAATGCGTCTATTAAAGCACGACTTCATAAAAGTGCACACAAATATTTCAAATTGCTGAAAAAATAATTTCTAATTTTGCATTTAGTGAATAAACTGCAAAACTTCTTTGATATTTAATAAACAAATTAAACATTTAAGCAACAGGAATAAATACCTTTAGTATTGGTTGTACAACTCTCTCTTTGAATTCTTTGGAGATTGTTATTTGGCCTTCATTTAATTCATCTGAAAATTGCAAAATATAGGACATGCTATAGTTTTATGATGATCAAATTGAAATTTACCCTTCACTAAGATCAATTATTAACCCTTTGTGTTATCTAACATGTAATATCATATGAGTCGACAGGACCTACAAAGTCAATGCATATGCATAAAGGTGACAACTTGAGTTCCCCATCATTGCCATAACAGATTAAAACACTGTAATACACACTTTGTCAAGATGACTGAATATGTTCATAAATTTTGATCCAACTTGAACAGGGGCGTAACCAGGCATACGCACGGATGCACTGTGCATACAATTTTTTGAGCCAACCATGATATTATTCTCCATAAATTCAGTGTATTTTTCACAGAATATAATCGTACCTGGGAATTTTCAAAATCTGTGCGTACAATTTTAAATGGTCTGGTTACGCCCCTGTTGAATGTTCATACTTAGGACCATTAAACAAAATGGGTCCAAGACCGCATTCTCAACGAATTGAGCCAGGCTTTACCAATCCTGAGACTAAAAATGGCGGACGTACATGAAAGAAAAACCGCCTAATCTTTTAATAGTCTCTCCGCCTCTCACACGCCTACCCACACATCGTCCCTGCGGGGTACAGTAATTAAAGCTCGGCTCCATTCGCCATGCGGAAGCTACCTGAGAAATATTAATAATATCACCAGAGATATTCACGGAGATATTCATGTTCGGAGCCGAGATTTAATTACTGTACCCCGAAAAGACGTGTGGGGAGGCGTGTGAGAGGCGGAGAGACTATTAAAAGATTAGGCGGTTTTTCTTTCATGTACGTCCGCCATTTTTAGTCTCAGGATTTGTAAGTCCTGGCTCAATTCGTTGAGAATGCGGTCCAAGATTTATACTTTACTCTCAGCACACATTCTCTCTCTCTCTCAGTATATGTCTACTGAAGTTAATGCATTTAGTACCTATCTTCCCTGCATCTCTTTTCTTGGTGTATTCCCTGGCCTTCTCCCTCAGCTCCTGGCCGTGTTCCCCTATCTCATCACTGGCCAAGTTGGATGTCATGATGAAGATGGCATCTTTACATTCCACTGTCTTGCCTTTCCCATCTGTCAGTCGGCCCTAATGCAGGGGTATACATAAACATTATGGATTCTCCAACTTTAATTATACAAATTAAATATATCATCAAATTTAGCTTGGTATTCAACAAATACTTAAAAGAAAGACACATTCTGTCACCATTTGCAAGCTTTTGTTTATAAATTATCTCAAGTTACTGGGAAATAATATATAAGAATATAAGAAAAAGTAATAAATAAATAAGTTAACAAACAAACAAACAAACACAATGGAATAAAAAATCAACAAAAACATGAAATACAATTTACTTCAGTTAGTGAATCAAAACATAGTTTTTGACTGCTGACTTGTATCTTCCTGTTACCTCGTCAAAGAGCTGTAACATGATGGTGAGTATATCTGGATGAGCCTTGTCCACTTCATCAAACAACACCACAGCATTAGGACATTCCTTTAGCTTCTTGGTCAACTGTCCCCCTTCATCATGGCCTATATATCCTGGAGGAGAGCCAATGAATTTGGCAACCTAAAGACAAGCAAAAAAAAAAGCCGATTCTGTATGTGATACGTTTCATTGGGGAAATGATTCTTAGAGCAACTTATACCATAATAACACTTCTCCCCCTTTCCTCATTAAGAATCATTAAGAATAACACTAACCTCCCCCCCTCTCTGTTACCCATTAGAAACAGTATACAGTTTAACCGAAAATGAAAATGCAATGCCAGATGTATGAATTCACATTTCAGAAGGGACACAGTAAGCTGAACTTCTTTCATAATATCATTTTTCAAAAAGTCACTAATTACATGTTGACAAAACTTATCACCTACCTCATGCTTTTGTTGATACTCAGACATGTCTAACCTGATAAAACCCTGTAAGATAAATTTATATCCATGAGCTGGTTTGATTTGTATGATCTTTTTTGGCAAAATTCCTCTATATTTGTTATAAACATTTATGGAACATCCAGGAGTAGGAAGACAAAGGTTAATAGAAAACTACAAATATGAGTGTATATATATATTTGGTAAAACACGCCAACAAATGTTTGCATCTTTAATACTCTTATATTTCACACACACAGGAAGATATGCTGTACAGTACAAATCTTGTGTAAAGCAAACCTTTCTGTAATCCTTGTGAAGATAGCGTGCCACCTGTTTGGCCAGCTCTGTCTTGCCTAAAATATACATCATATTAATATGTCAATGTAGGCAAAGAACATAAAAAATGACAGCAAGATATACAATTAAAACTCAAGAGAAACAAGAGTTTCATTTCTAATATGAATCAGAGGTTAAAATTTCACAACATCTACCAGTACAGTTTCACAGTTGCAACAAAACATTTCTATTGAAAAGTTCCAGGTCTAGCAAGAGCTTGGAAACTAAATTTTACTGTCAGGTGAATTTTCATACAAATGGACACAAGTATATTTAGATGTTTACCTATTCCTGATGATCCTAGGAATAACAACACCAAAGGATGCTCCTCATCATACCAACCATTCTCCTTCCTTCTTATAGCTAAAACCATGCAAAAAATTCATATAAAATTGTTTATTTATATAGCAGCTGATAATAAGTCAACAAGACCTAAAATAGTGGATATTATCAAAATTTTTTAGCTGTCACATCCGGCACTTAATCCAAACTTTAAGTTAAGATGTTTAAAATTCTTTTTATTTTAAACCATGTATGAAGGATATCAATACACCTTGCATTATCAATAATATTCTTTTTTTTTTCATAAAAATGTTTTACTCCTGATTTTACCTGCAGAAACAGCAGTAATGGCACCCTCTTGTCCAACTAAATGTTCTCTCAGCCTTTGTTCAAGAGGGTAGCGTTTTCTCTGCTCCAACTCTTTCTTTTTTACTATTACTGCATACTAGGACAAATGAAAATTAAAAAGAATGAAATATTGATGAAAAATAATGATTTATTGAAAAATGAAAATATTCCCTACAAATTTTCATAATTTAGACAAACTGGCAATGTTTTTCATTCCATCATTTGTCCATACATATTAGAGAGTTTTTACTTTCTGTTACTAATACTTACTATCAATATCATATCTGTCATTATCTATTCTAAACCTTAAACTTAAAGTCAAGAGCTGCCCACCTGTTTTTCTCCATCCCTAAGTAAAGACTGTATTCTTGTATTCCTAGCATATTCTATAGGTCTGTGTCCCATCTGATTTTCTACGGTTGGGTCAGCACCTAGAAAACATTGCAGGTTTTTACTATAATAATTATTATGTATGCCATATAATATGTGTATGCCACATCAGGTCTAACAGCAACAATATTCCCAACACAATTTTAGTACAATTAAATCTTGCAGCACACATTATATAGATTTTTACCTCAAAGTATACTATCAATAAAGCACTTGACATTTCTTATAGTACAAGCATACATAAGACTTATTGTTGAACATCAAGACTTTTTGGCGGTAAAAAAAAAAAACATGAATAAAGATATATAAAGACACATATGCTTTACACTGGTTAAGGTTTAAAGAGAGAAACTATTCAATGGAAACAACTGCACTTCAGTGAACCAGGCAAAAGTTAGTTTTCAAAGTTTGCTTACCAGCCTGCAGTAGTAGTTCAACAGTTCTTTCATCATCAGCCAGAACTGCATAGTGGAGGCTGGTACAACCACGGAATGAGGCCTTGTTATTCAACCTGTTACTGAACTCATCTTCTCTTTTAGTCAAAACTATTTGGATAGAAAAGGTAAATGATATTGGCCATACCACTGCATCAAAATGTGTTTATTTATAATATTCATTGCTGCTTCTAAGTGAATATCCCATCTCAACAGAACTGTAACATAAAATACATGGCAGTTTGCAAGAAATAGAGCATAAAAATAAATAAATAAATAAATAATTAAAACTTAAGAAAAAGAAAAGACATGAACTGTTCAGCTGGGAAGCACATAAGAGTAAATACCTTCTAAAGAATTTATTTTCTTTTCATTGGAGGTCTGGTACACATTGCTGTATTCATCACCAATATTGGGGTCTGCACCAGCATCCAAGAGCAACTTAACACAGCTGGGAAAGATTTCAAATGATACTTCTTTAAACAGCATTTGTTTTGAAAAATCCAGCAATCTAATAAAAAACAAGGCAATGCTTTAATTGAGCTTTTTTCAAAAAGTGAGAGCTCATTCAGGCATCAATGTTTTTTCTTGTTCTTTCAATTTAAAATAATGAATCAGTTATAAATAAAACAAAACAGAGCATTACTCACTCTGATTTCCTGTTCATTGCAGCCACCATCAGTGGAGTCCACCCCAATATGTGCTTAGTGTTCACATCTATCTTCATATCCACAAGGCTGAAGAATTAAGTATTACAGGTGAAGGCCCATTTAAATACATTTCAAATACTTATAGTCAATTAGCTGATTAAATAACTGCAAGATAAAACGCACTGAATAGGGGTGTAAAGGTTAATTAAATGAAAAATAGACATAAGACTGTACCTTTTTAATTCGGACACATTTCCAATTTTCGCAGCCCTAAATAGCCTTTCTTCTGCTGTAATATAAATTGGCATTTAATAATAACAACATGTCATCTAGAGTCCCTAAAATGATAACTTCTTCAAACATTGAGGCACATGTGAGAATGTGGACTGTATACTTGTGGCACTCGAAAGTTAATAGTTAAAACGATGACGGTACCAAGGAAATTTCTATCTTTCCTAATGAAAAAAATTTTGTGTAGAGGGTAGGTATATTACAATCCACTAGGGGCGCTACAGTCGTAACTGTCCAGGGGTAGTGAAGTGTAAAACTGAAGTTGGCCTGCTGACAGCTCGCCTAAGGCACCCCTTTTTTAAATCTCTCTTTTAGTGCCGCGTAAAATAACTAATACAAGCCATTAACTAAATAAGCTGTAAATCAAAGAGTAAAATCCGGTCACGTGATTTTCCTGTGTTGCAGTCTTTGAGAAGTTTCAGTTCAGGGTGTTTGAAGTTTTGCCTCGACAAAATGCTAAAAAATGTCAGGGAAGTACTGGTTTCAGTTTTTTGAAATTTATATCGAATAAAGTTTACGAAATTTTCAATATTATGTAAAAAAAATCATGAAAATTAAACCATGCAAAGTATAGTTTATTTGATGCGCAATATTTATAGTACATGATCTGCACGGAAGCCATCCCAGCCATGTGCTTGTGCGGTCACCAATTTGGGTTTGTTTCCGGGTCATTAGATTAACATACAGCCATAATTGCCCTAATTGGTCACAAGCAATTTCAGCTGCAGCTACAGCTGAGTGATCACCGCTGGTCAGTAGTGACAGGTTTTAAGCTGAAAAGTGTGGACACTTTTGGTGAATTTTTGCAGTTAAAAAACTTCAATATCTTTGTTGCTTGTAGGAATATTTAAAAAATTCCAAGTGATTTCATCCGGTTTTTGCATTACCTTTCAGATGATATAAGTATTATAATTTTCTGATCAGTTTGAAAATTTTTCTGATATACCTTTAGAGGGGGAGACAGTTTTATTGCAAGATGATGCAATAAATTGCAAATACTCTGTCATTTAAGAAGATAATTGTATGGTTGCGCGAGTATTATATCTTCATTTGACGTTCATTTACTAACAACTGTTACCGATGTGAATACATATGAATTACCATCCTTGTCACCCGAGAGACAGAAAGTCAGCCCTCCCGCTATCGCCAAGCGCGCACATATGGAACGCATTTCATTTTCAGTATTTCCAGAATGATCGGTTCGCAGGTTTAGATTACGAATAGAATTCGTGCATCTCCGGCCCACCTCAAGTCGTGTTACTCTTAGTAAATTTGTAGGTACATTCCTTTTTGGTGTGATTATCCTTTCTGACACAGAAAACGTCCTAAAGAACCGCTGCGTCGGCGAAAAAGCGGACAGCAATTGCCTGACTCGCACTACATGCGACATTTCATACTTTAAAGTCAGTGGGTACTCGAAGTTAGTGGGTACTTTATAATGTTGCAAAAGCCTAGATAAATACTAGCTTTACCAAAGAAGCAGGTACATCCTATGTATGTTGTCGTCTAAAAGGGTACAATATTATGGTTAATACAGTCTTTTGTGTTGTTGCCCATCGGATTAAGATGATAATTTTCAACTGTCGTTAAATCTGTGATACTAACTCAGGGTCAAGGTCGTAGCAGACAGCTGATCGTCGTTGAGTCAACTTTTACGTCTCACATATTCATCTCCAGTTAAGACTTCAAGGTGCTACACAGAGACAGAGGGACTTGAAATTCATTGTAAGTATTAATTTATTTTTTTGTAGAAATATTTAACACTACCGGTTTTAAAGCTAGAGAAAGATTTGCGTTTAATGTACATTTTGCCCTCGGCTCACGTCAAATATCTGTTTACAACAAAAGCCTTTGTTCCGCATCTACCTTAAATTCTAATGTTATTGTTACGAAGGCTTTGTCAGATACGTTACCGTGGCAGCTAACTTCTAGTTTATCTGAAAATGTCCAGTAGGTGAAATGAGGACACATTTCTTAAAGTGGGACTTAATTGTTACCAGGACTATTAGTTGCTGTACTAGTACCTTTTAACCACTTATCATTTGTTACCATTTCCTATGACGCGTAGGCTTAGTAAAAACATGAGTATCCATACTTATGTGTATGTAGTAAAATTTCAAATTGAATCGTGGTTTAGGGTAAATGAATGGATAAATTATGTCAAGAAATGATGAATTTGGACTTTGAACTCCAGACACTTTCATCTACTCTTACTTTTCAGATGAGGTTGGTTATATTAGACAATTATGACAAAGTCAGTGAGTGGGCTGCTAGATATATAAAAAGGAGGATACTGGACTTTGAGCCAGGTCCAGATAACTATTTTACACTTGGACTTCCAACAGGTAATCGTTTTTTGCCATTTCTGGGTGTTTCTGTAACATTATTGTGGGTGTGTGGAATCCCTGGTGAAGCTTTCTTATCCTAAGTCATATTGATATTATACTACTTTATGATAAGTTGGTGAAGTTGGATGGTTATTGTGGTTAGAAGATTTTTTGACTTTGTATTTGTTCTAAGATTGTCCATGCATGTCCTTTATAGACACAAAAAATCTGTTTGTATACCAGTACCATTTCTTATGTGCTTAATAATATTCACAAAATAATAATAATAATATAACAAATAAATAAATAAATAAATAAATAAATAAATAAATAAATAAATAAAAATAGTAGCAATGTATGTTTAAAGATTGTTTAAGACTAGGTGTACCTCATTCATGAAACTTGTGATAGAATTCCAAGGAATAATTTTGTTTTATTTCTTGACTAAGTAGCAAAATGCTATCAGTTACAGTGAAGCCACTGCTTGGGGTGGCTTCTCCCAAAAGTACTTGACATTACCAGTGCAAATTCATTTGATGAAAATAGTGCTTAAGAACAATCCTGATACTTCTCCAAATAAAAAACGAACTTAAAATCATGAATCTGTAGTGGGTATCTATTTTAAGAAGCCAGTTAAGAAGCATAAAAGCTTATGATATTTGATATTCCTGATTCTGAAGTGGGTTTCTATTTTAAGATTAGGTTATAAACAAGGTAGGGGTGAATTTAATTTGGTAACAGTAAAGATTAGTGCCAGAGAGGTCCCATTTCTTCAGGTAGCCTATCTGGAAATTAGCACCTGTGCTAGTACGTGCATATCAGGCTCATGATGCAGAGTCCATTGTTAAGAATAGATTTGGTACATTGGTAGCATTAAGCTTCTTCAAAAAAAAAAAAAAAAAAAAAAAAAAAAGAAATGAATACAAAGGCAGCATTCACAACTGCAGACTAACAGATTGTGGATCAAATATGTATGTCTGACCCATTTGAATGCTTACCGCATATACTCTGTGGGAAATCTATGGGGTGCCTTTTAGGGGATTGCATGGCATGTTTTCAAGTGGGCCGGGCATATTTGATCCACAGATCTGTTAGTCCACGGATCATCATGTTCTGTATGCATCCTTAATTTGTAGTAGGTGTGAGGCTTAAATAAGTAAGAAAAGTAGAAATTTAGCACAATAAAACGATTCAACATTACGTCTGTTTTGATTATATGTGATAGAAATACACAAACTTTTTCAATTCTTGATGGTTAATTTTAATCTAGTCAGATAAAGTAGTTGGGAGGGATGAGAAATGCACTGTATTATTTGGGACAAATGATGGCTGAACAAAGGTAGGTATATGAGCCTCGCTGAATTCAAAGGTCATGGATCATGTGATCCAACATTTTATAAATAGAACAATTTATGTGTAAACCCCTATGCCTGCAAGTCACAGCTCAAACTTAAAGGGCACCAAAGAGACTTCAAGTGTGTTGACAGTTATATAAGTGGAGATAAAATGTACACCCGTTGAAGCATTCACTTAGGATATGGTGTGTCCACTGGAAATTGGTCTATAATGTTAATCTCTTGCTTCAGTTATCTTATCATAATGTCCATAAAGTAATTAGACATCTTGAGATGAGAATTCAGAAGTTGTCTAGCTACATGAACAGTAAAATGTAAAATATCAGACTGAAGAAATGAAACATTTCAAAAATTATCACACAATATTTTAAGTCTGCACAGTAGCATTAAAATTATTAAAATATAAACTGCAAGTGGTTCAGAATATTTTGTTAGAAATTTATTGCTTATTGATTCAGTTGTTAAAGTGAGAGAGAGAGAGAGGGAGAGAGAAAGAGAGTACATTATATCTTTTGTAAATTTCAGGCAGCACTCCTCTGGGAACATATAAAAAGCTAATAGAATTTTACAAGAAAGGAGAACTTTCTTTCAAATATGTCAAAACTTTTAACATGGATGAGTATGTAGGTAAGATAGATTGTATAGTTTACAGATGATTATTATACCCAAATACACTACACATGGATTATGATAATATTAAGGTATACTTTTGTTGTATTGTTTAAACATACATTAACATTGGGTTGTTATTTTTAAATCAATAAATTTCATATTTTAAGACTATCTAAATGATGTCACAAGCTTGAACAACTTGATGCTGAAGTATTTCTTTTGGTAAATTACAGCTCTGCCCAGAAATCATCCAGAAAGCTACCATTCCTTTATGTGGCACAATTTCTTCAAGCACATTGACATACTTCCTGAGAACGCCCACCTTCTAGATGGGAACGCAGAGGATAAGGTGGCGGAATGTGAGCATTTTGAGGAGGAGATTAAAAAGGCAGGGGGAATCGAGTTATTCATGGGAGGTAAGGTTCTGGGACCTTAAGACCTGAGAAGACTTTAATATTTCATTTGTTAGGTTTGGGGATGAGATGCAAATTATGGAGATGTGGAGGGGGGAGGGGAGGTAAATTGTTTATGGGTCACAAGATTGCATTCTGATTTTCACACTTAGTACCGAAGTTTGTCTCATTTTGGCTGCATTGACTTTCTTCGTCTGTTCTAGAATTAACTTGTGTATCAGATAAGGAGTTATGTTAGTTAATATATGATAAAAAAAGATAAATGCATACAAAAATAAATAAATGACTTAATTTGGGGCCATCTTAAGACATTTTATGTTACAAATTAAAAACTCATGTAAAATATTACGAGATTATAAAAGACCCATTTTCAAGAAACATTTAAAGCCTTATTTATTATCAGATAACTATAACTATAAGTTAAAAGAATACTTTCATAAATGGTAATTTCATTTAAGATCATTATTTGAGATAAAATAATTTTATTGTACAGGTATTAGACTATTTTCAGTGATAAAACAATTTTTCTGTACAGGTATTGGACCAGACGGCCACATAGCCTTCAATGAACCAGGCTCCAGTCTGGTCTCACGCACACGTGTGAAAACTCTGAACCAGGACACGGTGGAGGCCAACGCCCGTTTCTTTGGCGGAGACATCAGCCAGGTCCCCACTGAGGCTCTCACGGTGGGAGTGGGCACCGTAATGGATGCTAGGGAGGTAATGTGGTGTCTCTGAGATGCATGGAGATAACTATCTCCAGGCCCGTAGCCAGCAATTTCAAAAGGGGGGTTCATTTTCTGAAAAAGTGGACCTTTTCCCATAAAAACTTTGTGTACCTAGATCAAATTTTACCCAGAGTGGACCTTTTCCCAGCAAAAGGGGTGGTTCTTTCGAACCCCCCGAACCCCCCCTGGCTACGGGCCTGATCTCTGTGCTGGTATATGTGTTGTGTGTATTTTTGTGATTGTGATTGTGTGTGTGTGTGTGTGTGTGTGTGTGTGTGTGTGTGTGTGTGTGAGTGTGTGTGTGTGTGTTGAGGAGAAGAGAGAGAGAAATAGAAAACTCTTTCAAATTGACCTCTCTATCGTTAAATGTTATGTCATGATTGATATTGCAATATGACATTTGACTTTTGCTGTAATGTCCACTTGCAATTAAGGTTGCTCTAATTATACCAATACAGTACTCATAGCTTTACTATATACAGCTTAACATATTTTACCTCATTATTGCCTAAATAATTAACTTCCACTTTACTTCAGGTGATGATCCTGATCACAGGTGCTCACAAGTCCTATGCTTTATACAAAGCAATTGAGGAGGGAGTCAGTCACATGTGGACAGTGTCAGCTTTCCAGATGCACCCCAAAACAATCTTTGTCTGCGATGAAGATGCCACGCTGGAGTTGAAGGTGAAAACGGTCAAATACTTCAAAGGCCTTATGACCCTACATAACAAGTTGCTGGAGGAGAAATCTGTTGAACCCTCATCCAAAAAAACAGAAGAGTAATTAGAGCAATGTCAGCTGATTAAGCTGGGATATATCCTAGCATTTTTTGCTAATTAACAAACTTTTATAGCCAAAATCAATAACTAATTGAGGGGAGCAATTTTATTATTATAATTGGTTTTCATTTTTAATTTTCAGCTAAATTTATATATTTGCCATTTACTATATATATATAAGTATGCTAGTCTTAGGTCCTGAAAGAATATCTATTGGAATGACTGAGAGCACAGCATGTTACTAGTACATATATTTGGAAAAATTGTTCACTGCTGGTAAAGCCAAGTCAGTTTAACCAGGTTCACACATGAAAAAGCATGGCCAGTGTAAACTGTCTTTAGGAGAGCATTTATATTTTTAGAGTGTGAATAATTAATTACATGATTGTTTGTTGTCAATTCTCATTTATTTTAAACTCATTGTTCTTAGTCTGTGTTACAATATTACATGATGTTTGAAAATGGGACATTACTATGTGATGGTATTCTGAACATTTGAATCATTGCTCCAAATAAGTGGTTCTCTTTTCAGATATTCCACAACTGCAAGAGAGCCATTGCTTGCTAATTTTCCATGTTGTTTTTCTAATCCAAATCTAATTGTTAATGTTGTAGTTGTTCAGGTTTCTGCAGGTAGGAATTGTGTCACGATGTACTAGGACAATCTCATAGTGAGTGTGCCATTTTATATCCTTATATTTATGTATAACCTTTTTTCTGTCGTCAGTGTGCCATTTTTATTTCATTTATGTAGAGATACCAGTAAGATTTCTTAATAAGTAGTAAATACTGGATTAATTTACAGTCATATATACCTCAAATTATCCTAGCAATACATTATTTAAGCCAACAAATATATATCATTTCCTTTCATGTTATGGGAAGCAGGTATTTCATTATTGTTCTTATTAGCGTCCTTGTCAGCGCTGACTTTTGTGATGATGTTTCACATAATTAAGGACATTTTCAGTCCAGGAAATGGTTTAAAAAAAAAAAGGAATCCTGTAACATGTACCGGTAGATAAAGAAATGGCTTCTATTTTAAATCAATTAGATGGCCTTTTTAAAGGACTAAGAAAAATTCGACCTAAAATTAAAGACCTTTTGTGAAACTGGTCTTCCTGGTCTATCTCTTTTTATTCACATAATTTTGAAGTTCATTAGCTGTGTTGGTCAAATCTTGTATACAAGTGGGTACATCTTTTCATGCAGGCTCAAAACAGAATTCAAGTGATGCATCAAAAGAAACACTGTAAACAATGCTCTTCAAGGAAGATTTTGCGTCTGACAATCTCGTTTCGATTTCTTGAAATGGTCAAAATATACTAATTTAGGTAGATTTAATGATCAAAACAGATTGAAAAGTGTAAACACTTTATTTTCAGCATTGGTTACACTGCTTGGAGAAATTAGAAAAGCAAAGAACAAATAATGAAAAAATTATTATACTTTCTTTCATGATATTGAGATTTAAGGGAGCCAAACAGGTTTATCAGTTGCACAACTAGCCATCTTCAGAGATTTTTTAAAGTCTTCTACTGAAAAATTATTTAAAATCCATGCATTAAGTGATATTATGTAAAAAATATTCAGGATGAAGAATAAATTGGTTTTCACATCCAGTAGTATGTGTTACTGTTGAAAGCGCGGCTACTAATTATGTAGTGTGACTTGTTATGATCTAAACATCAACTATAATTATGTGCAAGTATTAATTTGAAAATATAAAAGTTATTTATAGCCAAAGGGTATCACAAGGAAAATGTGTTATTGTTTTCTTTTTTTTTCTCTTTCATGTTACTTTTTCAATACAATTAGATCATGAGTAAAACAGCACCCAAAAAAAAAAAAAAAAAAATTAACAAGGGAAAGTTACATTTATTCATTGTAATGTACAGTCTTATAATTATATAATAAAGAACGATTAAAAAACAGTTCTTATCAACCAAACTGCTATCAATCTTTGATATCACAAGTGTACAACCATGAGACATTATTAAGAAATAGAGCAAGTTATAACAAATGCAACAGCAAAAAACAAAAACAAATTTTATCTAGACAAAGTGGAGGAAAATTCATACAAATATCTTGTCCCAAGTAAGTGAAAAACCTTTCCAATGTTAAAAAATTAAAATGCCCATTCCTAACAGTGATTTATAAAATGTTTGAATGGACTTAAAGTGACACTGGTAAAAAGAATGTTATATGAGACTGATACAGAAGAAATCCAAATGGGAGGAATTCAATAGTGCAATCATCTTCCTATATAATTAAGGAGAAATAAACAACACAAACCACATAAGTGTAAATTACAGTCAGTTCTACAAATCATACCAACATGCACTCAATTTAAAAACAACTGTCATCTTCATGATTTAACTCCACCCCCCCCCAAAAAAAAAAAAAAAATAAATAAATAAATAAATAAATAAATAAAAATTAAAAGAAATAACAGTAGGCATCCCTCCCCCCTACCAGCATTTCTATAAAGTTGCCTCTTAAAGAGTAACTACTTAATTACCTTCTTTTTGACTTTCTTGGTCCCTACTAATCTTTTGTGCCTAGGACATATTAATTTTCTAATATATGTACAAGATCTTGAAACTGTAAGATTCTTTTTGCCATCCTACTTCATTTAAATCATTAAAAGATGTCTATGCAAAGGTAGAGGACACAAAACCCCACTTTCTGTCAATCAATCCACTACAGAAAATTTTCTCTGTGACATAATGGGTGCATCAAGTTGATCTAACACATTCAACACTTTGGTAAATAATCAGTAAGACCCTACTAGTATGTGTGTTAAGCAGAGAGATTTGTGTGTTAAGCAGAAGGGGGTATCACAGGAGGGGCAGGTGCCCTGACACTAGTTTAAGGGGCTACAGGTGAGAACATTCCATTACCTTTTAGCTCACAGCCCAAAATACAATTTAGAGCCTATTTCCATAGATGTGTCATTGATATCAAGGGCTATTAAGCAGTTCTTCCTGCCCATTTTCTATATAAGGTATTGTGCACCTCCACATGCCACAGAAAAAAAATCTATAGTCATGATAACAAAAAAGACAATTATGAACACAAGTCATCATCATCATCTTAATGGAGATTAAGTAATTTGATGTCTGATCATAATTTCATATAAACTAAAAAGAGACCAACTATCCATGTAAGCAGTGCTAATAACAAACTAAAACCCTTTGATAACAAATCATAATAGTGAATACTACGAACTATAAAGACAAATAACAATGCTATACAGTAAAAGTGAATCTCAGAGCAGCCAAGAGCGTGAATATCTTTTCCCTGAGCCACAGAACATTGTGCAGTGATTGCTTGCTAATCAATATTTTTAATGAGGTAAAACAGACAAAACATGTTAGCTAAGAAAACCTTAGCAGGGGGGTACATTTTTACACTGTAAACAATCTCTATGGAGATATCCAATACTCTGAATACCACAATTTAAACCTTCTGTTAATTATGAAGGGAAGTATATATTAATGCTAGTACACTGATAAAACCGTCAGATTTAGAAAAAGATGCTGATTTTATTTTGGGAAGTTGCAAGGGTGGCCTTTTTAACAATATCTAATGAGCCAGTTAAATATGTTTTGTATGTGACACTGTTAATGGTGCCTCAACCCAGCGGCAAATAAGGCTGTATATGTAAACTGAATAGACGGAGTGTAACATGCACTAAATAAATTCATATCATTAAATACAGCAGGGGCAACAAATATGCAATGTCAAAAGAAAAATAGTTTTAGAATGTATGTTTAAAATAAGTTCTCAATAATAAGATAAAAATAAATTGTTCTACATTCTATTTTGACACCACATAGGAGACAAAAAGCCTTGAGTAAATTGTATTTAACCACAATGAGTGGTAATGTGCCATAATAACTATAATATTAGTACATTTTCTAAATGTCTGCAATTGTCTATTCATCACAGAGAAGTTGAACTAAACCAACATCTTACAATGCATATGTACTACTTATTAACACATTTTTACTATATTTACACAGTTAAAAAATGTTTAGTTCAACAATTATTTAATAATGCATATACTGCAACTGAAGTTCAGTCCAACACATTCAAAAAGTGCATTTAGTTATTTTAATTGATTTCTTTGAAATTCTACTTGCTTGTTCCAACATTTTAAAATCAAACTTCCTACCCGTGAACTGTATCTCACACACTGTTAATTGCAAAGTAAGTATCTCTTCTAGGCAGTGTGCCAATTTCAAACCTAATGACAAATACACAGTATTTGGAAAAATACACAAACACAATAAGAAGAGGGAAGTTAGAGGTATGTGTCACAGTATATCATTCTATCAAATGTCTCTACAC